TAGGTTTACCATAAACTAGTAAGTACCAAAAAATTAGTTTTTGACATTGAATTTTGCTAAAAGCAGTCAAATCTAGTCTATAGAGAAGGTCAGATCGATTACTGGGTTGGCTTAGTTAACTACAGGTCACTAAAATTGCCAAAATGCAGGATGATGTTAAAAATCCCAAAAAATGCAATTAAAACATGCAATTTGCACTAGGTTAAAATCACATTGAATCCATTTCTTTTGTGCCAATTGTTAGTTTATAACTAGATAATCTAACTACAGGTGTAAATTTTGTTGACTGAGTTACTGTTTTGCCGTAAGTTCTGGGTATTAAAAAAAAAGTCCCCAAAATGTCACAAAAAGTAAATTGACTAAATTCCACCATTTTTTTTCAACAGAGAGAGAAATTCTGGTCGACACCTCTCAGAAATAGGTTATATTTGTCCTAGAAGTGATTAAAATTAATAATTGAGCAACATTCTGAGTGCTACACAACCTGTTTTAGCTGACGTTTTAGGGGTGGTGCACGTGACATTTTAGGGGGTGATTACGGTTTTGAGGTACTTCCTTTAGTGAGTGAATGTTTTCAAGTAGCTTAATGTTTTAATAAGACAAAACAAATAGTACTAGTGACAAAAGATAAATCAGGCCTCCTGTACATTTTGTAATTATCACACATATAGAGTTGACATTTTAGGGGTGGTGTTTTAAAAGTGACTCCATTTCAACGTCAAAAAAATTGTACCTGATTTTATTTTCAAATCTCCAAATCTTCCTGGCAGGCTAGAAAAAGGTTTAAATATTATTCCTAGACACTTCAGAACCCTGTAAATTTAGCCCTAACTCGGCAATCTAGGCCCAAAAAACAGGTGACGTTTAAGGGGCGGTTTACCCGTACCCTGATTATTATGAGCCAAAAATATTTTTTTTCGGTTTTCGAAGTTCGATATACGATTTTGGACTCGAGGGATCCCCTTTGTAATGCGATCTCGGAAGGCAGGCCTCCCCTTCGCAATACGAGCTCGGAAGCAGGAGCTCTGCTTTCAGAGGTACATATCGAGAATGACTCGGACCGAACATTTTCTAAGTCAAAAATTTTCAAAGTTTTCTTGGAAACTACTTTTGTTCATGTTTCATGCTACCCTGATTATTATGAGCCAAAAATATTTTTTTCGGTTTTCGAAGTTCGATATACGATTTTGGACTCGAGGGATCCCCTTTGTAATGCGATCTCGGAAGGCAGGCCTCCCCTTCGCAATACTAGCTCGGAAGCAGGAGCTCCGCTTTCAGAGGTACGTATCGAGAATAACTCGGACCGAAAATTTTCTAAGTCAAAATTTTTCAAAGTTTCGCTAGAAATTACTTTTGTTCATGTTTCATGCTACCCTGATCATTCTGAGCCAAAATATAGTTTTCGGTTTTTGAAGTCTGTACCTTTCATTCGGTAGGTTGTGGATGTGATACTGATTGGTTTCAACTTTCATATACTAATTATAGAAAACGTGATATTTGGCCCACAGATTTGAAGGAAAATACGCGAATTTGGTCCTCAGATTTAAAGGAAAATGCGTAACTGAAAAAATCACGATTTGTCGTGAGTCCAGGATCTGAAAAATCGGGATTTGTCGCGGCAAACGTGAAAAATCGCGATACTGCACATGCTGCAATTTCCTTTTGTCCTTACCCTCGAAAATATTTAGAATTTGGCCCCCCCATGAAGAAAATCATTCCTACACCCCTGGACTCTTATACCACCACCGTGTTTCATATTATGGACCTGCAACTTTACAGATGGCATGCTGTAACTACTCATTCGAGGATTCCGTCGCCAATGTTCGAAAATTTGAATATTTAGACTACGCCAATATAATATTAAATCACCTATATTGTTCTTTCCGGACATGCTAGACGCCCATTTATTTCAGATTACTGCATATAATTAATTGTTGCATCTGATCTGAAAAATTGAGGCCAAACGTATTTGAAATGACGAAGTTATCAAGCATTTAATGTATCTCGTTAACAAAATTGATTGGGTGATTATCTGATAGGTCACCTTAATTGGGTTCCCTTGCAATTTGACGGGGCCAATCACCTGAACAGGTAATCGAATCACCTGATCACACGTAATGGATAAACTCGTCATGCCTCGTATCTCGGTCATCTGAGAAGCTACAACTCTCATTTTTCAGATCAAACGTAATTTGAATGGCCAAATACGATCCTATAAAATTTGGCTCGATCTGATTATCAAAACTATCAAATAAATGCGATCATGAACCTTCATTAAAAAAAATGAAAATGAGTATTCTTTGATTTAATATATTCCTCGAATGAGTGGTGATAGTAAGTCATACCAAAAAGAATACCCCGGAACATAAATCCCTTAAAGCATACAGGTGTAAAGATTCGCATTCTGTCTGGATTTGATTTTACCCCGGAACATAAAAGCACTTTCGGTAATTTTGGGTTGGCGTGGCCCCTGGGAGTGGCCTAAGTGGGTTGAGAGGTCGAAACTTGATTTTTATGATGGTTTGGGACAGGCAGAACCCATTTTTAAACTAAAACATGTCCCACCTACCCCGGAACATAAAAGCACTACAGGGGTAAAGATTTTAAAGTCTGGATTTTAGCTGGATTTCGGTCATTTTGGGATGGGCGTGGCCCCTGGGAGTGGCCTGAGTGGGTTGAGAGGTCGAAACTTGATTTTTATGATGGTTTGGGACAGGTAGAACCCATTTTTAAACTAAAACATGTCCCACCTACCCCGGAACATAAAAGCACTACAGGGTAAAGATTTTAAAGTCTGGATTTTAGCTGGATTTCGGTAATTTTGGGATGGGCGTGGCCCCTGGGAGTGGCCTGAGTGGGTTGAGAGGTCGAAACTTGATTTGTATGATGGTTTGGGACAGGTAGAACCCATTTTTAAACTAAAACATGTCCCACCTACCCCGGAACATAAAAGCACTACAGGGGTAAAGATTTTAAAGTCTGGATTTTAGCTGGATTTCGGTCATTTTGGGATGGGCGTGGCCCCTGGGAGTGGCCTGAGTGGGTTGAGAGGTCGAAACTTGATTTTTATGATGGTTTGGGACAGGTAGAACCCATTTTAAACTAAAACATGTCCCACCTACCCCGGAACATAAAAGCACTACAGGGGTAAAGATTTTAAAGTCTGGATTTTAGCTGGATTTCGGTCATTTTGGGATGGGCGTGGCCCCTGGGAGTGGCCTGAGTGGGTTGAGAGGTCGAAACTTGATTTTTATGATGGTTTGGGACAGGTAGAACCCATTTTTAAACTAAAACATGTCCCACCTACCCCGGAACATAAAAGCACTACAGGGGTAAAGATTTTAAAGTCTGGATTTTAGCTGGATTTCGGTCATTTTGGGATGGGCGTGGCCCCTGGGAGTGGCCCGAGTGGGTTGAGAGGTCGAAACTTGATTTTTATGATGGTTTGGGACAGGTAGAACCCATTTTTAAACTAAAACATGTCCCACCTACCCCGGAACATAAAAGCACTACAGGGGTAAAGATTTTAAAGTCTGGATTTTAGCTGGATTTCGGTCATTTTGGGATGGGCGTGGCCCCTGGGAGTGGCCCGAGTGGGTTGAGAGGTCGAAACTTGATTTTTATGATGGTTTGGGACAGGCAGAACCCATTTTTAAACTAAAACATGTCCCACCTACCCCGGAACATAAAAGCACTACAGGGGTAAAGATTTTAAAGTCTGGATTTTAGCTGGATTTCGGTCATTTTGGGATGGGCGTGGCCCCTGGGAGTGGCCCGAGTGGGTTGAGAGGTCGAAACTTGATTTTTATGATGGTTTGGGACAGGCAGAACCCATTTTTAAACTAAAACATGTCCCACCTACCCCGGAACATAAAAGCACTACAGGGGTAAAGATTTTAAAGTCTGGATTTTAGCTGGATTTCGGTCATTTTGGGATGGGCGTGGCCCCTGGGAGTGGCCCGAGTGGGTAGAGAGGTCGAAACTTGATTTTTATGATGGTTTGGGACAGGCAGAACCCATTTTTAAACTAAAACATGTCCCACCTACCCCGGAACATAAAAGCACTACAGGGGTAAAGATTTTAAAGTCTGGATTTTAGCTGGATTTCGGTCATTTTGGGATGGGCGTGGCCCCTGGGAGTGGCCCGAGTGGGTTGAGAGGTCGAAACTTGATTTTTATGATGGTTTGGGACAGGCAGAACCCATTTTTAAACTAAAACATGTCCCACCTACCTCGGAACATAAAAGCACTACAGGGGTAAAGATTTTAAAGTCTGGATTTTAGCTGGATTTCGGTCATTTTGGGATGGGCGTGGCCCCTGGGAGTGGCCCGAGTGGGTTGAGAGGTCGAAACTTGATTTTTATGATGGTTTGGGACAGGCAGAACCCATTTTAAAACTAAAACATGTCCCACCTACCCCGGAACATAAAAGCACTACAGGGGTAAAGATTTTAAAGTCTGGATTTTAGCTGGATTTCGGTCATTTTGGGATGGGCGTGGCCCCTGGGAGTGGCCCGAGTGGGTTGAGAGGTCGAAACTTGATTTTTATGATGGTTTGGGACAGGCAGAACCCATTTTAAAACTAAAACATGTCCCACCTACCCCGGAACATAAAAGCACTACAGGGGTGAAAAGCACTACAAATCCACTACAAAAATCAAGGAAACGTGCTCTCGTCTTAGCGCGTTCCATTTTAGCACAAGAAAAGTGCAATCACAAATCGGCTATTATAAATAAACTTTCGGTCAATGAAAACCCTAACCAACATTTTTATTTTCTGTTACTCGTTCATACAATATTGTGACTGTATTATCATGTGCGAAACTGCAAGCAGTATACCAGTGTAGAATAAATTGATTTTCAGATAATTATGCTAATGATGGCAATGCACAGCAGTTTTTATGATTACAATTTAAAAGACAGATAATATAGTTCATTCGACGATACTCAAAAGGAAACGTTATTGTTGAGGGACAAGAGAACGACCGTGGGAATGAAAATGCACCAACCGGGATTCGAACCCGGGTCGAGTGAATGGGAATCACTCATGCTACCCCTACACCATTGGTGCAGTGCACAATGTGCGATGCTTAGTTATTTTATCTGTCTACCCGCACTGTGGTTCACTAACTTACATTTCCTGCCCGCATCCAATCAGTAGCTGCTTTTGTAAATTCTCTGACCGCCAGCACATTCATACCGTCCATCTGAAATGCAGATTTATATTGCAAAATTAGGTGTTTAGTGTTTACAATGAGAGACAAGTTAATTTATGAAACACTAACTACATAGAGATCAGGAGCTTAAAAAGGGAGCTAAAAATGTTGCTGAAATGTTAAACTAATTGTTCTGACCTTGATACCGGGAACAGCATCTCCTCTTGTGTAGTAATGCGGGTTAGCAGCGGCTCTTACATCACTCGTTCCCATACCGTAGTGGTTATTCTCACAAGTAAACATACACGGAGATTTAAACAATGCTGCCAGGTTGAACGCTTCAAATATCTGCAGGTAGAGGGAATGTTAGAGACAAGTGAGAGGGGGGGGGGGGGGGGGGCCGGGGGGCGCATTATTACGTAAGATCATATTGCATGCCTTTAGAAAAGTTAAGTGTGCAGACAGCCCCACATCCAGAAACACAGCATTACATTTGTTGTAGATGGGATTCATATCAGTTTGTTCACAAAAAATGTGCACTTGTGCACTATGCAGGCAACAATGAACAAGGTTGCCAGGTTAAGGTTTTTTCTACCCATGGCAGATTGATTTTATAAAAATAACTATTAACAGTAACCATGGTAACATATTGTATTGATAGTTAATGTCTCACTACACCCTGTTAGCATCTACCTGTCCCTGGTTGGCAGCACCATCCCCGTAAAGAGAGATGCACACTTTACCGTTCTCCTTGTAGCTGTGCGCGAAAGCAATGCCCGCACCAATGGGCACCTGCGCGCCTACGATACCGTTACCACCAAAGAGGGTGTCCGTGTACATGTGCATACTTCCTCCCTTTCCCTTCGAACATCCCCCACTGCGACCTGAGGTTTTGTGTTTAATTAACCCGTGTTAAATTTCTTTTAGGCAATTGTAATTTCCAGAATATGATGGGTGAAGAAATAAAATCATGATTGTTATCAAGTAAAATTTATTTATGATTAGGAACTTAATCAAAACCTAATTTAAATCAGTTTGAAATAATTTGATTGAACCATTGTATATGTGTGCATGAAATTCTAGACAATAACTACAATAACAGTACAATAATAGTACAACTTAGTAACTAGAATTATATTTACCGGTTAGTTCGGCCAGGATAGCTCTGGGTTCAACACCCCTAGTGTAGGCCCAACCGTGGTCCCTGTACGCAGTGATGATACTATCATCAGGAGTTATTGCAGCTTCCATCCCGACACACACTGCTTCCTGAAATTATCATGGCTAGAGAGCTAGAGCTTAAAATTATCTAATTCGTAGGTTATTCTCTTAACTAAGTACAAGTTATTGTCGTAGTACGAAATAACAGAGCACAAATAATAGTTTTAAAGTACTTTCACAACTACAATTAAATACATTCATTGAGGACATTACAGGAGGAATTAATTTAATGTAGTTTGAGGAGTCGTCACTCTCCTCACGCCCAACAAATAACAATTTATCTTGTGCTAATATAATTAGTAATTAGTGTAATTAGTGTAATATAATTTACTATAATTCACTATTTACTAATCTGCTCTACCTGTCCGCTGTAAAGATGGAGGAAACCTCTGATCTCTTTAGATTTGTACAAGGCATTAGCTGAGGTCTCCATCCGTCGTATCATGGTCATGTCCTTGTAGTACTTGAACGCATCATCTCTGGTTAGGGTGACCGTAGTGGGAAGAGTTATGTCAAACCTGTGGAGCTTGCATTCCTGGAGGAGAAAAAGTGAACTTGAATGAACACTTAACGTCTCTATCTTTTAAAAATCAGATAATCAAATACGTTCATACCCTTTATATTTAAGGCATTATTTGGGGGAAAACAGAGTGATGTCCATTATTCACTATAGAAGAGGAGATAACATACCGGCAGGTCAAAGGTAGCTTCGTTCGCGAGACCTCTAGTCAGAACGGGCCTGGAAAGCTTGCGCAGGGACTGCCTCAACATCCTGCTAAATCAATTATTCAGTTATCAACTTAAAGTTTTAACGTATTCACAGATAATAGCTTCAGTTCCATATTTGAGATTATTTTATAATAACCGAGGACATATTACAACCGATTTCGACATATTTACACATTTACTAGGAGTTAACTGTTCGAAATTTGAACAACTCTTCAACAAAGAAACAATCTTTCTTATAATTGTATTATGTATTATGTTACATACTATAATGATGAAGACAACACCTTTAAGCGACTTCAATGTTTTTATTTATGTTTAATAATCTTGCAGTTTTATTCAGTAACCGTATAGCACGAAATAATCGACTAAAATCGCACTTCATGAACAGTAGATGTGTGGTTATAATGAGGAATGTGTTCCACACAACTGAGGACTGCAGACTTGTTCTGCCATTCTTAAAGTCGAGTCAAGTGAAGCAGGAGTTGCTGGGGGGGGGGGGGGGGGGGGGGGGGCGGCGGGTCGGGGCGGGGGTGGGGCATGAAGTAAGCGTAATTTGAACACTTGAACGGTCTTTCATGTGATTGAATCTTCTGATGTCGAAGTAAACTATAATCACAATATGGATTCTGGACACTGCTTTGGTTTGAGTCCAGAGTGAACCTTTTTGAGCGAGGCAAACGTTCCTTTCCAGTTAGTGCTAAATGAACACATTGGACAGTTATAAGGTTTTACCCTTGCATGAATCATCTCGTGCTTTTTGAGATCTCATCTGAATCTACTATGAGCATAGTGAACATTTAAATGGCTTTTCGGCTGAATGAACACGTTGGTGTGCACATTTCCGCTTACTAGCGTACGAGCACGATAAACATTTGAATGGTTTTTCACCCGTGTGAGTTGTAATGTGTGCTTTGAGGGCCATCTTCACTGCACAACTGCACAAGCGTACGGACATTCCTTGGTTTTTCGAGACAATTCATTAATTACGAGTAAATTTGACCAGAATGTTTTATTTGAGCACCTTCTTCATAAGTGAAATCCATTTTTTCTTTAACTTTTTCCGGCTGTTTGGTTCTTTTACCCGAGCATTTGTACTCATCATTCAGATGATAAATGAAATGAAGGTGTGATGAAAAGTATTTCATGCAAACTGGACACTCACAAATCGCAGAGCTGCTGTTCCTTTCATTTGGCTCTGTTTTTATTGGCTCCGTTTTAATCTTTATTGGCAACATGGCTTCTAATTTGTTATTCTTGTCGCAGTTATCGGTAACAATGAGCTCTGACATGATCTTGATGTTTCTTGTTCTTTTTAGAAACGGAAGAGGTTCAATTAAATTCTTCTTGTGGGAGGTGTAAAGGGGTTATGTCCGGTAGAAGATAAGAAGTGATGGTCTTCCATTTCTCCTACAAATGAATTGACGTGATTTGTGGTCTGAAAAATGGATGAAATGGACGAATTTTTAACCAAATCGACTATGACCTTTAACTGGCTAAGGGTCTCTTAACCTTACCCGAACGCTAACCTTACTCTAACCCCAAAAAGTTGCAGCCAGACTTCTCGGATAGTACTACCCTGGCAGATTTTTGTACAAGTAATACGGCCACTGAAGATTATTGGTAAAGCAGTACATACTTAGTTTTGGTTCACGTAAAGGCGCCAGCCTTTGTGCAGTGCATGTAATGATTAATAATAATAAAGTTATTCTAAATATGCATCAAGCAGTTGCAGAAAGTCTCAAAAACTACTTTGACGATAAAGTAAAGAAGATTTATGGGTCTATCTCAGAGGAAAACCTGTCCAGTGCTGATAGTCAATCTGAAGACAAACCTTGTGTAAAAGAAATATCAAATAACGGAGTAGTTCGCTGTTTATTAGTCTCATGATTGAAATACTGATATCTGGATATTATCCGGTTGGAAAAGAGTTAGAGATGCCTAATGATACACATAGTTCTCTACCATGCTCTACTACAGCTTTCAGATTAGTTACTCGATCAGAGGTTCTTTCCCTGATTACTAAGACGATGAATAATAAGTCGTGTGAACTCGATCCTCTTCCAACATGGCTCCTCAAGCACTGTCTCGATGAATTGCTCCCTCATATCACCCTCATAGTTAACCTATCCCTCCAAGAGGGCTATTTTCCACATGCTCTGAAGTCTGCTATAGTACGACCAGTCCTAAAGAAAGCATCTCTAGATGCAGACGACTTGAAAAGCTATAGACCTGTGAGTAACCTCAGTTTTATTTCCAAGGTTATAGAAAAGTGTGCCCACTCACAGTTTTCCGAGTACCTAAATAAGAACAATCTTTTCGCAGCAAATCAATCAGGTTACCGGAAAAACATGAGCTGTGAAACTGCAGTGCTCAAGGTACATAATGATATACTCCTCCAAGTTGACAAGAAGAGTCATACTGTTCTTCTTCTTCTTGACTTGTCAGCTGCATTTGATACCATCAATCACAAAAGACTTTTGAGACGACTCGAACATAGCTATGGATTTAGTGGTATTATTCTTAAATGGGTTGCAAGCTACCTGTCAAATCGATCCTTTATCGTTGGTGTTAAGGGTGAATATTCCTCTCTCTGTGACCTCGAGATTGGAGTTCCTCAGGGCTCAATTCTTGGTCCTATATTTTTCATCCTTTACACTAAAACAGCTACAAGATATTGCAAGTATGCATGGTCTCCAATCCATCTATATGCTGATGATACTCAGATATACTTCTCATTTGATCCTAAAAAAGACATGGCCATTGAATCTATGAAGAGCAAATTGAAAGAATGTTTCGAGCACATCAAATCATGGATGAGTGAGAACTACCTGAAACTCAACGACAATAAAAGTGAGATAATCGAGATCTCTACAAACTCCAAAGCCCCAAAACAAGTTGAATTCAATCTGGACAGCATATGCTCCATTAAACCTACCAAGTCAGCAAAGAATCTGGGATTCATTTTTGACAACCATCTCAATTTAGAGGCACAGATCAACAACGTTGTCAGAGTTTGCTATGTAAATCAGCGAAATCTTGGCAGAATAGGTTCCAAACTGAGTAAGGACTTAAGGAGCTCAAAATCCAAATGGTACACGCTTCAATTCATTCCATTCTGGACAATGGAAATGCTACTTATGGTGCCCTTTCTGAAAGACTTCTCCAGAAACTTCAAAAAGTGCAGAATACTGCTGTGAGATTCATATTCGGACTTCACGGGAAGTTGAGACAGGAGCCCATCACACCCTATATGATTGAATTACACTTCTTACCTGTAGCAATGCGAATCAATTCAAGATAGCGTTACTGGTTTTCAAGTGCCTAAACGATTGTGCTCCTGAATATCTAAGGACAATGGTCAAAATTAGGGACACTAGTAAACATCATGTCAGAATGGACCATGACTTCTCCTACTGGAACGCCCTCCTTTATCAAGGCTGAGGGCTACAGCTGGTGCTTTCTCTCACACTGCTCCTAAAATCTGGAATACACTTCCCTACTCACTACGCTCCATCTCTCGACTAGATGTTTTCAAGAAGGCTCTCAAGACCCAGCTATTTCATCAAGCCTATCCTGTATGTGCGAACAGTATTTTTGGTGATTCAGTAGTCATGGACGCAGGACTTTAAGATCAATCTACAATTTATAAATTTGAATTTTTGATTAGAAAAGGGACTACTAAGGTAAATTTATCTGCACCGCTTTGTTGGCCAGTATATACTCCATTTTTTGGACTTTGGTCGCTTATACGGCCTAAGCGGTATACAAATAAAGCGTTATTATTATTATTATTATTTAATACTTCCTATTATTATAAACAAGACAGGAGAGCAAGTAAGAGAGAACACATTTCTTTTATATCCACAATAATACATCTCAAAGAACAATTATACATAAACATTTTAAATACCATAATGATATCTACCTTAAACTCTTAAATACTAGAATATATCAAATGTCAAATATACAAATATAAAATTATAAAAACCCAAGGACTATCATAAATAATTGCCCAATAACCGTGATAAGTGATATAATATTCTTGAAATCACTTGAAAGACTTATGATATTTCTTAAATCTTTATTTACGTTTTGGTAATTATTTATTGAGATTGTAAATAAAATGTATAATAAACCCTGCAGCTTTATGTTTTATAGCTTATTGTAGAATTGAATTTTGCAACTTCTAAACTCCAAAGTCTAAGATTCGAATCAAATTCTAGTACAAAAGGTTCATAGCGAGGCCAGCTCCAGGGAAATTTCAATATTTTCTTTATCAAGTAGCGTGCAATGTAGGAGTTGACAAACCAGCGATATAACTTGTATGAATATCAATTAAATGCGATAGTGAACTCCATATAAATGCTATTTAACACAATACTTTAGTTAAATCTCCATTCATTTTCAAAAAAGTGTTTCAACACAAAATATGTAGCAATTTCAGAAAGAATTGTAAACCGATGCGTATCAGGAAAGTTCAATCCTCCTTCAATCGTTTTTCTTCTCTGTCCAAAGTGGTACGATCTATCTTTTCACCAGGCTTTGCTTTTCGTTTACGCTCGTAAGGAATCCTCAGATAGACCATGGTCTTGAAGATGTTCCTTCCCAACCAGATGATGTTGGGTATAATGAAGGACAAGGCAGCAATGTGCCACCACGGTGCGAGGGAGAGGGTGAAGTCTAACACCGACATCTCCTACAAATCAGTAGTAATTAGTTAATTAATTAGTAATAACCTTCAACTTCAATACAATAGCTGCCTAGGTCTAGAGATGATATCAAATTTTATACAAAATCCAATTATGAATCATACCATTATGTACGATATCTAAACCAACCAATTAAAGTTAAACTATTCTTACCATGTGGTCAGCTGATGCCTCGTACAAGAAGGGTATGATGAGCAGTCGGCACACAACAGTAGTAGCAATGGCACACATGCTCACAATGATATATCTCAGGTTATGCGGCTCTAGTGTCTGCTCCATAATCCACTGGAACTCTGTGAAGGGCACTGACAGCTCCGTAAACAGGATACACGCCACCAGAAAGTCACCCTGATGTCAGGATATTGGTATGAGGAGGCCCAGTAATATGTACCTTTAACTAATAATTTGAGACGAAAGAAGAGGTATGTTTAAATTTAATCTTAATTGAAGATATTTCGCGGTCATGATTTGACTGTGTAAACTCAATTGTTTCACTGAAAATTAACTTGATACCGAGATTTTATAAACATGTTTTTTCACCTCATCATCCCTAGCAAAGAGGACAGCAGGATACAAGAATACCACAAGCAGGGCGTGGTGAGCCAGTAATAACCAGTTCTTCCTTACGTATCTTCTTATTATCCGGTAACTTACCAGTTTACCAGGTGGTTCGTAAACCTGCCAGGGGAGGGGGAGCTTAGTGAGGTGTTCCGGGAGGGTAACATTGAGGCAGATCAGGAAACAAATGATAATTGTGGAGGAAAAAAGAATTGAATTCTTGTCTTAGAGAATGTGTTTGTGCCGATTAGAGAATAATAACAGGACAGCAGAGCTGGTTTTCCAGTTTGTAACCTGAAGGTGCTCGTTGTATTTTCCGAACACATCAAAAGTAAGGTAACCTCCAGAGAATGCAACAAACATGTCCAGAATCTGTGGAGTAAACAAATGTTAGAGTCATTTCAACAAACTTGGCAAATTTAAAACTTGAATTATATTTAATTACAAATATTTGTAACCACAATCCAACACATCTATAATGGTTCAGAATGAGCATCTATGATAATTAAATTTACACAATTGTGATAAAAGAGAACTAAGAACCTACCAAGAAGCGTTGCTTGAGGAACTCTGAGGTGATGAGCATGATAGGAACCGCCACCAGAGTAGCCAACACAGCGTGGATAATCCGCACTAGTCTCACAGTGTACACGAACATATTCACACGCTTTCGGTCCAGTTTGTAATAGCTCCAGTGGACGTCGTAAGAAAACAGGTAAAGCTGGGGAGGGTTACTTTCAGGTTCTTTTAGTCAACTGAATCAGTGGAATCGAAGATAATTATGATCTTTTGAAAGGATAAAAGGCATGATCTTATAGTTTGGCTTGGGAAGGTTTTGAACTGTTTGAAAATTTGATGTCAAAAACTCAATATCCTTAATGTTGACTCACAACAGAGAAGGCGATGAAGCCGATGACATAGTTGAGAAAGAGTCCAGGAACAGTGAAGTTTTGGTGAACATGCTGGTACTGGTGAGGTTTGGACAGACTAACTAAAGTCTCTACTCCTGACTGGTTGCCTACCTCCTCCACAGCTGCCTCCATCCTATTTACAAAAGTGGAATTTTTAACATATTGTTGTATTAAAGTTAATTCATTTACATTTATTTTGATTATATCATAATTTATGATCACATGTGTAATGATGAGCTTTCGTTTTCATGTCTTCATAATCAAACTATTTAATTTACATCATATAGTATAGAAAGAGGTCACTTTTGAGACAGTTTATTTTTATGAAGAGTGAGCTTTTTGATTGGCGTACCAGCATAGAACTTTGAGATCATTAAAAAACAATTGAAAACATTTCGTAGAATAATTTACAATTCCCAGAACAAATCAATTGACATTAAACATTCAAAAATTAATAATTTCACTTTATCTTATCGTTAACTCTAAAAAGAAAGTAAGCTATTTTAACATTCAGAATATCATATTCAGTATTATCCGATATGTTGCACACGGAACCCATAGTTTAATTGAAAACACCTATATAAGATTCATTAAAACACTAAAAAGCGCAAGATAAATTCAGGTCTAAGTGTAAATACTACAAACTTTAAAGAATGTCACCAGTTATTCTGCGTCGAAGTGCTGCGTTCTTATCAGTATTTTGAAATAACGCTTTCACCAAATGCTGGATTTCAGAGGACTTGAAAAATTTCGACAAAGTTCCGTTTTCCCAATTCTCAACAATCTTCACCAAGCTATCGTCCATAAGCCCAATCACCAGCTTGAATCTTATCCAAGACTCTGAATCGTCCGCCAAATGATCTGCCCTCACTTTGGAGAGCTGATCCAATAGTAAGCTGAAGTTGTTACTCAGACAAGTGCTGTGTTTAGCACTTATGTCAGGGATTCTGAGGGTATCAGCTAAAAGCAGCTTCAATGTACTGTCTATAGTTGCCTGGAGAAGGTTTAAGGTATTTATCCTTTGGGAGGTTCTTTTTCCAGGCAGTGACGTATTTGTTGATCAAGGCTACTGTTTGGACGAATGCCATTTCGATAACCATACCATGATTTTCTTTTCCTTGCCCATCTAGCCCACCTATTTGATTTGTCAACGTTTTGATTTTCTGGTGCAAAGCTTCTGAATTCTTTTTCAAGGAAGCTGCTCCTTTACTTCTGATATAACTGGTCACACCAAAGAAGTTTTCATTAGGGAGCTGTTGTTTTAGTTCCACAGATTCCCAAAAGATTGCGTGGGACAAATACCAACAGTCACAGAAAAACCTAGCAGCCTTGGCAGGGTCCTCTGAGTCCTCGAAAGGATCAAAACTGGGTATAAGGAACAGCTCTCCAATATTCGCACTAGTTTCACACAAGCATATACAGGCTTCTGGAGATAAGTTTTTAGAAGTAGCCTCCCGGAGAATGCTCTTTATAAGCTTCGCTAAATCTACCACTCTTTCAGAGACAAGAAACTCTGGAAGATGGAGTATTTTGTTGGTGTTTGGATATTGAAGTGTCAACGGAGAGCACGGGTCTCTGGGAGGTGTTATTACAGTGCTCTTAATCGGTTTGTCGAGAACTTGAGAGACTGAAATGCTTCCGTTTGTTTCGGACATCAAGATTTTCCTGGCATTGTTGTAACAATTTTCCTTGTACTTCTGGGCAAATAGAAAATGGTAGCTGGAAACATAGATCGTCAAATGATTACTTGAATTTTTATTGAATTTTTTGATGGAATCTTCAAAAGTCTCAATAGCGGGTGTGAACTCCTTTGCAAATTGATTCAAATCAGATATTCTGACAGGAATTTCGTCTTTTACAAATGCTTTAACCTCAGGCAGAAGTTCCTCAAAAATATTTTGCCAGAAATTACATTGAAATGCATGATCAGATGGCAAGAAACTTTCAGTCATGGCTGTGCAAAAAGTAGTTATTTCTGATAAACATGCAACTTTACACGTCAACGAATCCATCAACTTCACTTCATTTTTTCCACATACTATTTTCTGATTCTTACCTAGGGTTGGCAGTATTATTTCTTTCATCAACTGAGACGCCATTAGCTCAGCTATTGTTGTAAGTTCTGATTTTGCTATGACCTCTAAAACCTTTACATAATCGTCCAATAAAGAAATTGCATTATCTGAAAACGAGACACGCTCATTCTGAATGCTGACAATTGAGCTCCAATCAACAACTAACTTGAATATCTCAAGTAAGCGGTCTTGAATCCTCTCTTTCATATCCATTACAACTAAGGGAGCCTCTGCTAAGTTGCAGAGAGCTTTCAACTTGAGTTCAGCAAGTTTTAATTTCTCAGCTTCTTCTAAGAGGCTGCTTGCATCAGAGGCTCCTTCAATCATTTCGTGACACTGACATATCTGATGCAGTATAGATATCATAGACTCACTCTTCAACATCCTGTTCATCAGTGCCTTCTGTGTATCCTCAGTGCTAACCACCTCAACCTCCAAATCCTTGCTTATCTGACCGTTTAGCAGTTGGAACTCGCTGATAAACTGCTTAGATTTCTGGTGAAGAGCATCTGTTTCTGACATAGTGGTGCTTACATCGCTGTACTGTGAGTTTATGGCTTCCTCTACCTGACTAGACAAGTTGTTCATGTACTTCTCAATTGTGCTGATTGTGGTTTGGACGGAGGTTAGGTTGGCCACGTCTAAGTTGTTGTTGAGGAGATTCGTTAGACTGTCCATTGTTACACTAGAAGCCTAGAAATGTAAAGTTTAAAAATATAAATAAAACAGGACGTACTTTGAAATGTTTAATTTACTGTATAACAGCAAAGTTGAAACGATAGCTCTTAAAATTTACAAGTTATTATGATGAGTTACTTAAATAATAGACATTCATTCGATTTTGAGTATGTATTCTTAGAAGTACAAATTAAGACAATCGGTCAATACAAAAGGACAAATTATAACATGGGTGAATAGCGAAATATAAACACAGTATACATCAAATCAAAAACTGTATTTTCTCAACAACAAAAAACATCAAAACTAAATGTAATAACTTAAATATTTCAATGAAATCGTGAACCGTAATTACCCCTTAAAAGCTATGGAAAGATGACAAAATCTGACCAGATTCAATAAAATATCATAAATCACAATGCACTGCAGAGGGTTTTACCAATTAAAAGCCTATAATACTATCAATTATATGTATACATTATATAATACCCCTTATTATATAAGAGAGGGGGTGGGCCCTCTGTCGGGGAGACCAGCCGCCGCTTTGCTATCAAGGAACCAGAATAGTTTACCGGAATCAGGCCTGACTTGTCCTGCTGGGGGTCGGTTTTCTGGAGACTCGTGCAATGAGGGCACAACCATAGGTACTTTAGATTCACCTGAACAAATGGTGCATCATGATATTCATTAATCGAATAAAAACGATATAGTAGGAGTGAAATATGGCAATGGAAAAACATGAGTATTTAGTCGTCTCAAAAAATATAATTTACAACATCTATAATTTGTAAAATCAAACTATTGACAAATTTCATTAATTAGAAACTTTCATCCAACCACCAACCTGTAACTACAAATACAACTTGTTGACATTTCCTCAACAGACGGTATGTCATAGTGATTCTCTTAGGAGGAGGTTTAGGGGAGTCAGATATGGCAGCAATATCAACAGAGTCCTCCTTCAGCAGAGGGTGACCAGGAAACAGGGAACACGTGTGACCATCAGGACCCATACCACAGAGTGACAGGTCCAGTTCCATGGACGGGAGACGTTCCTTCATTTCCTTTTCGTACTGTTTAGCTGCCTCTTCCACGGAGACGGCAGAGTTTATTTTGAGGATTTGGGATTCTGGAATCGAGATCTGGAAGTGAGTAATTATGAGCGATTATATCGAATGGCCTACACAGTACACATACAATTTACAAGTCGCTCAGATCATAAAAGTTAAAAAATGATGGAATGAAACAGAAATAGTGATACAAATTTAAAGAGCATGTTGTACGAATTATAAGAATATTCATACATCATCAAGAAGAACTTGTTTGAGAGCCCCATAGTTGCTGTCTGGATCATCACTAGATACATATCTCTCATCACAGAAGTAAACCCACCACTTTGTCCAATCAATATCCTGACGTTTGCTCAGACCCTTCATGAACTTAGGTAGACTTCCGCCACTGACAGCAATGTGGAACTTTCCGTGGGATTCGACAGCCTCGTCGTATCTGAGTAAGAGTAGACATTTTTCATGGGTTGAAAATGCTGGCAATGTAGAATATGGCAAGAAAAAGTCCTTAAATCTGCACCATTCAAAAACATTACCAGCTAGGATCATATCGAAATCCAATAATCAACATCATGTATAGTTTAGAGGTTAGAACGATTGGTTCAATAGTTAACACAAGTTATGATAAATCTATCACATAGGAATTTAAATAAATAGAATTCTAAATTTTATTATTTTTAATATCTGACCTGTCTTTGACAAAGGAACAGAGTCGTTTACTGAGCTCTACATTATCCTCGAAGACTTGCACTAAAGCTGGACAATCAGACATCCTAACTGATCGAATGGTGGGGATAAGGACAAAGTTACCATAGCATTTCGAAAGAGATTGTATGAGATGTTAAACAATTTTAATATAGTCATTGAATCTAAAAGAGTAAAGTAAGAAAACATACGAAGTACTAAGAAAATAAATTAAAGCTAAAATGATTAAAAATGTGTATCAATTTGAACAGCGCAGTAGTTCGTAGATTTGGTTGATTATAACAGGTCTAAACGGAGAATGAATCAAGTGAGATTCTCTTCAGTTTCTTTCATATCTTCGTGTGGTGGGAACATAACCTCAAGTTTGTGTGCTACATCAGCTACATCAGCTACATCAGCTACATCAGCTACATCAGGGACATCTACATTAACAAGCTCTGTAATATCGTGCAATGAATCGCCAGGGACCGTTGACAGATACTCTACAGTACCAGAGTCGTCCCCTTTTCACAAGCTTGCTTTGTTGCTTTGCCTGAAGAACGAAGAAACGTTATTGATTGATAGTACTGGCCTGGACCCTGGTAACACCCGGATCAGAGAAATAAGGAATGTCCGTCGTCCGACATTCAGATTAGTTCATATCTTCTGAACCAAAACATCGTCAAAACATCAAACTACACTCTACAGAAATAATTATCGAAGCCGTACTGCCAACACTTTAAGGCATTCAATTTCAAACAATAAGTATCAAACTCTGTACAACACGATATTATACAAATAGACTGTTAGTGGGAAACTCAGGAGAAAAGACTTTATTGTATGATTGAAGGGACAGGGAATAAAGGTCTATTGTATTTCAGGAACTATACAATATAATTCCTACAAAAGGTCACACCTACCACTGCATTGTCACACCTACCATTTCATAGATGAGAACAGTGGCTGCCATGGAGACGTTCAAACTGTCCAACTCAGGTATTGTAGGTATGTAGGTGTGGATGATATTATGAATACCACGTTTAACTGCTAGGTCTCTTATTCCAGCTGACAAGCCACCAGCTTCCTGCCCAAATACCATCACAGTGGGTTGAGTGAAGTCTGCCTCGTAGTATGGCAAGGAATTGGGGTGTTTTTTAGGAGAATTCTCACTGGTAGATTCCACCAAACAGATATTCCAATCTGGTGGTAACGTTTCTAGTACTTCATTGAAACCTAATCTCTCGTGCAATGGTATCCTGAATGATTTATAGATATACATTATTGATTAAATGGCAACTAATTAAAAGAAATGCTGAATTGCAGTGGATCATTAAGATATGTATATTACTAAAAAATCACAAATTTCATTTGCATAATACATAATGCATTTTTACAATTATTTTACATCATAGCATGAAAAGAACATTGCTTATTGCTTATGATGATAGACAACAATTAATGCAGCACAAACATAGATTTACTATAATATTATAAGATAATATAATAACATTTCTCTGCACTTGCAAAATTTAAATATTTCCAACACAGTGGAACAAACCTTACTTACAAATAGTTGGCAGCAGCTGAAGCACGCAAGGTGGCTGGCAACCAGGCGTCAGCTGAGTTTGGGCTAGTTATGACAGAAGAACATGCTGCCCCTGCTGCGCTTCTTATTATTGTTCCTAAATTACCTGAAAAGATGAATAAATAAATACTTTAGACTTCGTAGGGGAATTCTAACTTTTTCTGTTAACATGCATATAAAAATGTATAAATGTGTAGACATAAACATTGTGCTCTTCATCTAGGCTGACAATACCTGAACTAACCTGGATTTCCCACCTGATCTAAGTAAATGATCAATGGAATAGTGTCCACTCTAGAAGGCGGTATGTAGGCAGGACGATCAAAAACAGCCATAATTCCTTGGGGTGTGGTGACTTCAGTCAACCTCGCCATTTGCTTATCTGTTATCTGCACTGTTTTGGTTGATTCATGAAGAGTTGGCAGTTTCTCTAAGACTGCGTCCTGAAATATTAATTGAAATAGTAAAACCGTGTTGACTTTGAAACGAGTTGTACCCACTGTCTGATAATTGGATAAGAGAGAAAAAAATGAAAAAAGGTGCACACATATAAGCACCTAGTCTAAAAACTAACCTTGACGTAAAAGATGTGGGATGGAGTTTGTCCTTGTTTCATCACATCAGATATCATCTTGATGTTTTCAAGAAAAACACCTATTCCTTTCCTTCTCTTGGCTTTAAGAAATGACATTGCATCAGCATATTCCTTGTGAGTTTTGGCATCATACAAGTGCTTTTTCACGTACAAAGACTTCTCTGGATAGTTAATGGGTGCATTTCTTCCATCATATCTATACAAATTCTGAGCAGAATTGTGGACACCTCTCTGTCTAATATTACAGCAGCAAACCTGAGACCTTCTGCAGTGCTGAGTTACTATTTTAACCAGTTTCATTCAAGACATCGACCTGTAAAATCATTTGGTGAGATATTTCTGATAAGATATTTTTCACATATAAAATCAAAACAATTTCGAGAAGGATTAATTCTAATTGCCCAAAATTACAGCACATTGTAATGGTTATCTCAGGGCTTATGGAGTGCAGGAATTATTTTAGAAAATTATGCTCATAGCGACTAACATATTGCTACTAACAGATGTTGCATTGGGTGATATGGGATAGGTGGAACCCTAGGAGTCACTGAATAATGTGTTGGTTCTTCCAAATACAAGTATGTCGTGACAATATCATGCAAGCTGCAAAGCAGACCATTTTTTGGTTTAACTTCCATGATGTGAACCCCTCAGTTTTGAAGCTTGACTTCTTAATGTGGAAGGACTCTGATATTGGAACTTGTGAATGGTGCTTGTAAATGAGGAACACATCATTGATGATGAACCAGTGGCGTAACGTTGCCTGTTGGCGCCCCCGCCGAGAATGCGCCCCCCCCCCCCCCCCCCCCCCCCCCCCCCCCATGTTGGCGCCCCTCCCCTAAAATTGAACAAATTAGGTGATTTTAGAGGATATAATCATAATAAATTGAAGTTTAAAAACACCACTATTAAGATAAACTTATACTCAGCAGTGTTTAATCTAGTCATCCCAGAACTATCATGATAAAAGTTAGGATATGCCGGTAAAATCTCTAAAAAAGTGTGTTTCTAGATCAAAACGTGCAGTTTTGCTAATAACTCAGTTGTCAGTTAAGTTTTTCAAAATTGTCCCACATTCAAACGAAGATTTTTGCGCCCCCCTAAGATGGCGTCCCCACACTGTGGGGTCAGCAGGGCCCTTTGTTACGCCACTGATAAACCACCTCAAATATTCGATTTGGGTCACAAGTAAGAACCACTTTGGTCTACTTGCTGTGAGGTGTCTCAGCTACATGGGTTAAGGGCCCACTAAATCACCTACTTACAGTAACACAATTGAATACATAAACTTAACTTTTTCCCTCCTATTTAAAAGTACACCATAACGACATATATGTTGAATATTGTAATAAACCAGTAGCGATGAACAAATACAACTACATACGCACTTATGTAACCGGAAATCAATTTGTTAGTTGTTAATTCAATGAAAATTCAGAATATGTTCTGTAATTGGATATATATATTGGAGAAAAACTTAATTATTTTGTTTTGAAATTATACTTTTGTAAGATAATTATATTTTAATACAAAATCATTAAAAAAAGTCTTGCACGATGGGGGCAACTGTATTTTCGTTTTTGTGCGAATTGTTCATTTAATTTACACAGCGATCCTGTTACTTTCAAAATGTTCCTAACTTGGCGCCTAATATTTGTTAGTACATGCAAACCGGCCATAAACTCTTCAGTGAACACAGAACATATCTAAATATATTTAGGAATTAATTATTATACTAAAATTTTGGCGTTTTGATAAATTGTAAAATGTTACAAAAACAAAGTTCTTTTTCGTTGTCATATGTTAATTGACGATTTCAATTCATCGCAGCTCGGCGCGGCACAGTAGCGCATCTCGCCGATGTCGCTGTGAGAAACCTCATTGAGTGCGCGGCGCGGCACAGTAACGCATCGCGCTACAATGTCGCATACGTTGTATGACCCGCCGCGCACGAGTGCGCGGCTCCCCTTTAAATTGTAGAAATGACAATGGGTTTCACGACGCGATACAATAAAAATGTACATTATACAGAATATTAACGGATATTACTCGTTTAAATTTCTTCGAAATAGCGCCCGAGGTACGAAACTTCGAAGTATAAGCGCGCGCCGGGTTAATCCATTAAATATATGGACAAACGCGATCGCGTTCGAACGTCAAACATAGTGCACATGCAGTTTGCGCAAAGCTACAATTGTAGGTTTTTAACCTACCAGGACGCGCGCCGGGTTGGACTCGTCGACGGTCCTAATATATGGAACAAATATTTTACAAGTATCACCCGTTAACGCTACAACAAATTAAAATTTCAAATATTGGATATTGTTTGTTTGTTATTATTACACATTTATTTTAAGTTTGATATTTTAAATTTTGGAATTGAAAAGATACATGATTGTTTAAGCTCAGTTGTAATTTTATTCGGTCATTATCTATAAATGAACATTCACATTTTGATTGGCAATTAAATAGATGCGCGCGCGCGTTTTGGTAGGTTATAAACCTACAACTCGAAAATCGAGCGCTACAGGTAACTTATATTTCCACCGAAATTTATTAATGGTTTTTCATGTTCTATTATATCCTGTCATCACTCCTGGAGTAAAGGATATTATATGTTTATGCAATAAATATAATAATCAATAAATTTGAATAGAAACTTGTCTTCTTTTCAGCTCACTCTTCTGAAACCTCTACCTTTACATTTTCAGCCTCAACATCAACTTCATCATCTTCATCATCAACATCATCACCCCTGTCTTCATCGTTGGTGGTGTGTGCAAGATTTAGGTCCAGTTCGTCAACAGGTATTGCTTTCTCATAATATTGACCATTGTTAATGATCTGGCCCGGCGCGCGCTACTTCGTAGCTCGTGCCATCGGGCCATTTCGAGAAGAAAGCGGCGTGCGCTACTTCGAAGAAATTTAGACGAGTAACATCCGTCAATCATAATACCGTCCTTTGTGTCCTCTCACTGCAATCAATACTGTCTTAAGTTTCATGTTCTATTATGAACATTATGCATTTGTCATACTTTAATTTAGTTAGCAGCCGGTTTACTGTCTCTCGAATGAATTTTTCTCCACTATTTTCTTCACCATTTAATTCTGAGACTGGTGCTTGTCGATCGATTCTGCGGCCATTGTTTTATTTGAAGTTACCAGCTTTCTGCCTTATTTTCCCTGCAATTAAATACGTCATTGATCGTTGTAATTAGTTAGTATTATTAAATATGTTGATTCTGTCGATCAAGGTGCAATTGGTCATTTAATCGGTCTTTTTCCTTGAATTGCGAACGTTTACAATTTGTCTTGAATTACTAGATACTGGTCTTTTGGTGTATCGATTTTATCGGTGTTGGAAAGCTGAATTTAGTTGGCTGTTGTTCTTCTTCGTAGGGGGCTGTGGTCATTAACACTATTGGATAGATCGTGACCACTGTAAGATAGAGCATTGGAGCCCTGTGCTTACCCGGCAAAATATTAGTGGAGAAAAAAGTTAGACTTTGTTTTCTCCGCATTTAGTGAATCGTTTTGTTGCTTGTATGAAGCCGATGATCCTTGGTAGTGAGAAATTGTCCACTATGTCTGTCACACTAAGATAGAAGGAGTCAAAGTATCCTCATCGTTGGTAAGACCATTTCGGGCACCCACTGTTCATTGTCTCCTCTTCCATGCGAACAAGTTTTAGGGACCGTTGTCGGCTTGAACTTATTAATATGGTAGTTTAGTTCACAATGTCCAGTAAGGAGCTGTGTAGTGTAGCTGTTCATGTGCTCTCTTTGCCAAGTTTCGGAATTGATCTGGCGAACTTATGTCTCCATACTCGTAAGTAAGTAAGTAAGTAAGTAAATATTATGACATAACATCATCACAAGTGTCTACAAAATATCATTGCACTAAATGGAAAAATAATTTAAATAAATATATTTTTCCATCAACATTAATAATTTATAAAATTCAATTTTATTAATTAATAAAATCTAATACATTATATATAAATAATTCATTAAATATATTCGTTTGAAGTGAGTGTTGGGCAACGTTCTGATTTGTGGCATCACATCATACCTTTCGATAATTAAGAGTTGTGTTTGTATTTGACTGTATTTAACAAATATATATTTGCCATTCTAATTAATTTACCGTGCATTGATAACAGCCCCCCACATTTTTATTCAGAAAGTAATAATCTGATGGCACTGGAAACCATAGAAATAGGCAGGATCACAGGTGTTATGTAATGTGGCACTTAAGCAAAGAAAACACTTTTCACATGGCCTGGGTCCAGAGCAGCTCAAACTGATTTTACCCTTAATTTTGACTGCATCATCTTTATTTTATAGCATTTTGTATCAATAGTCAGTTCAGGTTTTTGTCAATAGAATTGATTTAATCTTCACAATTAAGCTTTAAATTCATAGACTTTTCTAATAAACAATCATTGGAATAGGAGGGGAAGTAACTGAAGCCACACCTGACATTGCATGAGCACCAAGGAGGTCAATTCTCTGGTACATCTAACAGCTGGAGCGTAAGTAACCTTTGTGTAGGGCAATATTTAGAAAACACTTTTTCAATCAATCAAGGTAGACTGTTCTCACCTGTTCATTGACTTCTAAGTTTTTCAAGCAGTGCAGCCACTGAAAGGCTTACTCTTCTAATCAGAACAGAAATGTGATACTGCAACCGATATACACATACAAATAATCTTAGCACAATTTTATTATGATTATCCATTCCCAAATATATCATGAATTTTAATTCACCAGCAGCTTTGATTTCTCTTTATTTAATTCTAATCCACACCAAAATCCAGGGCTGGGGGGTTTATCGGAGTAATTGTGACATCGCCCATAGAGCTACTGAAAACAAGACAGCAGGTAATTTCAGCTCTTTGTGCCTGACCACACCTTGTGTTAATTATGTGTATATTGATGTGTGTGCTGTGTATTAATTACTAGGTATTGTTTGCAGGCTAGACAAGATACGACTGAGTTGTAGTGTGTTATTGCTTGCGCACAGTTGACACATGACACCCAATTAATGTCATCATAACTAATCTGCAGATTCGTAAAGTTACTAAATAATACCCATAAAATAAGTTTCCTCTTTAAAGGGTTTAAAATACTCCATGTATGTGGTAATTTGACGATATCGTCAATTTGATTGAATTAGATAATTTACTGAATGTTGGTAATATAATTACCAACATGGTACGCTCTAAATATACGAGTCGAAAACCTAGCCATCTTCTTAAATATTGAACTGAGTCAGAATATTCAAATGTGATTATGTGTGCATTTATGCACACTGCACAATGTGCAGATTGATGAATTACAGATGAACAATCAACAAGACATTTAATAACTGTGTCTGTGTTTCAGTCGACAGTATCCGCCTACTCGGCCAGCTGTATAACAGGTGGACCAGGACCACGACATCTCGTGGCACCCAGGAACAGTGCCAGTGTTACCTCAATATGGAAACAATACAGAACTATAGTCGGGCAGGAGGGATTCAGGTTAGTTTCTGTTTCTCAAAGAGTGAATACTGACGCCGTCAGTAACTGACGGCTTACTGACGCCGTCAACTTAACTGACGGTTCATCCGTTCAGATTTTATCCCAAGGATTTTGTGTAAATCCTGCCATGTTGATGTATCCAGCTTGTTTACTTGGTACCCTGTAATAAGGTTGCTCTGGTAACTTGTCAAACTGCCAGGATTGATAATATCCTGGTTTGTCTTATTATTATTAGTTAGATAATTACTTTATTAAATTATATGCATTCATAATTAGAGGAGCAAAGACCTTGTAACCCGTCTGGTCTTCGTGATTATCTAATTACTTCATTGGAATTTAAAAACTTCGAACTCACATTCAATTATGTTGTCAAATGATTGAATCACAACAATATTTTGGCTGACCGTGTTGACGAAGGAAAATCCTGCCTTAACTTCTTCTGAAATTAGGGAACGTTTTTAACAACGTTAAAGGCCCTTTTCTGATAAACCCTACCTCAGGTCCCTGTTTAAAGGACTGACCCCCTCCGTAGCGGCAGTGGTTTCCAGTAAAGGTCTCTTCTTCCTTGCTAATTCGGAATGCAGGAAACTCGTCCGGAATGTTTGCAGTCAGGGACATATAGTTCATCTAACATCAGGTAAAGTAGCTTAACGCATCGGGTAGCCCAAGCCAATAACATAGGGGATCGGTTAAGCTTTTATATTAATTTTTTCAAGCAATTTGCCCACTCAATGAGTTTTGCATAATATTTGCACTTTTAAACTTTTTGCACATTTCGGTAACAAGTTTTCTTCTCAGGGACTTTAGCTGGGATTATCAACGCTCTAGCAATGAACCCCTTTTGGGTTGTCAAGACCAAACTGCAGCTCGACGAACGAAAGTATGTACCAAGTTTAGTGAATAAATTTACATGAAAAACTTGTAATAACCTTGAACAAATAGTTGTCGAAGTTTCGGCCCACGCCTTTGTCATGGACGAGACGTTTTCTTCTAAAACATAATTAGTACTTTTGTACTAAGTGCAGAGGTGGGTCTGCTGCTCATTTCCCAGAAAAACAGTTAGTACATGGTACTAAGGGGGGGTGTCCAACCCAAAAAACCCATAATTCAACTCTAATTTCAATTTTGGGAATGGGTTTTTTGGGGTTTTAGGTTTTTTAAAAGTTTTTTTTGGGGTTTTTTGAGTTTTTTCCTTTTTGTGTAACTTTTTATCTAATTCGACTAAATTGAAAACAAAGCACCTATTAAATAGTGGGTATAATTTGCCCATTTCCCAATGTTTAATGAGCTGTTTAAAGCAATTTATGGGTGGGTATCATATTTTATATACCAAAACACTGTTAGTACTATGATTTCTCAACAGTTACTACCGCAAAAGCCAGCAAAAGGGGTGGGTGTCTTAATTATTATGAATTATCCGAGAAAACAGTTAGTACCGCGAAGGGGGTGGGTGGGTCTTTTGAAAAATTCCAAAAGTACACTTAGTCGACGTGCAAAACTTAGTACCTGATTTCACCAATTTTCCTCCACTGTTCAGTGGCCTGAAACGTCTCTGATTAAAGTCACTCACTGTTGGAATAATCTAATTTCATGATATAATATCTCAGTTATAATTTATAAAGTGGTCATTTTTTATTCGACAAGTTACTATACCTACCATGTAAATGTGTTCTATAGAATTATCTCTAGAATATTCTCTCTAAGTATTCACTGTCAGCCGATTGGTTTAAAGTATGCACGTTATCTTGATATGCTAGTGTACGAGGTTTCGTAGTTTCCTACATGCCGATGAAACAGTTAGTACGTGATAATAAAACCTTTTTATGTGATACAACAACAGTTATATACATAGCATTTTACTGATGCGTATCAGGCGACGTGGAAAATGGAAATCGGCCAATGTGAATAAATTGACGACAGCTTAATTTTAATGTTAACTGTTTGTAATTTTCCAATTCTCCGAAAGGCGGTCAGTCAAAGGAAACATCTGCTTAATATGGTAGTCGACATGAGATTCCCGCCAGTATGTGACCAGTTTAAACTGGATTCAACTGTTACATTACCAACAAGCTAATTGTTACATTACCAACAAGCTTGAGTACTATGCACTTGTGATAATATACAGACCTCCCGTCAACATGCCCAATGCTGCGTTTCGTTTGAACTTTTACACACACTACCATTAGAGAGGGTGAAAAAGCTACTCCAACTCTAACACTGAATATTATGTCCCTGTACGCGACTACGTGACTACGCGACTACGTGACTACGTGACTACGCGACTACGTGTCTACGCGACTACTACAGTACTACATTCTAATTTCTAAGACTGAATTTGTCTCAGATGCTCCAGAAGTGCTGTATGGAACACAACCCGGAATCTGTGGAAAGCTGAGAGACACAAGGCTTTCTTCAGAGGTGCTAGTGCTAGTTTAGTGGGTAAGTACTAGTTTATTGGGTAAGTGCTAGTTTAGTGGGTAAGTGCTAGTTTAGTGGGTATGTGCTAGTTTAGTGGGTAAGTGCTAGTTTGGTGGGTAAGTGCTAGTTTAGTGGGTAAGTGCTAGTTTAGTGGGTAAGTGCTAGTTTAGTGGGTATGTGCTAGTTTAGTTGGTAAGTGCTAGTTTGGTGGGCAAGTGCTAGTTTAGTGGGTAAGTGCTAGTTTGGTGGGTAAGTGCTAGTTTAGTGGGTAAGTGCTAGTTTAGTGGGTAAGTGCTAGTTTAGTGGGTACGTGCTAGTTTAGTGGGTAAGTGCTAGTTTAGTGGGTAAGTGCTAGTTTAGTGCTAGTTTAGTCAGTTTAATTAAACATGATCAACGTTTTTATATCAAGTCGGGCTGTGGTTGGGGCTATAAGGTCGTCATGATTATTTTATGCGAGTTTGTTACATTTCCTGGTGACCGTTTTAACCAGGAAACACAGGAAGTAACTTGAATTCATTCCAACATTCCCAAATTAGTGCGGAATTTAAAACTTGGGTAGATTTTTAACTGCAAAAGAAGCTCTACTAATTCTACTTAATTATAGGTTATGAAATTAATTTTGTTTACACTTTAACCAATGTGAATCAGTTTATATAGTTAGCGTTGGATTCATTTTATCACCTGGCCTGATGCCCATTGCCAATAGATAGATTCTTCTAGATTTTTCTAGAATCTTGTATTTGGGTATTTGCCAGTTGCAGTAGTTCCTGTATCATTATTAACCCATGAATTCTAAGAATTCTTGCAGGCTCCTTCGAATTCGGATTGTACTTCCTGATATACGAGGAATTAAAACTGGCTAAGTTGGGATATTCCTACTTCTCGCCCTCCTACAGAGAAAACTCTTATATACCTAGTAAGTAACTTTTAAATATACCTAGTAAGTAACTCTTATATGCCTTGTAAGTAACTCTTATATACCTAGTAAGTAATAATAATAATAATAACTAGGCCCCCGCTCAGAACACCAGAGCTAGTGAGTAGTGGGTCCGAGGCTGATACTCGTGGTCAGCACCCCCGGGGTCGGTAACGGCAGCAGTCCATTGGATGGCTGCCGGCTAGAGCTACTCACTCCCTGGCATTGCCAGATGTCTTCTTCCTGAGGTTCAGTTATAGCACAAAGTTTAAACTATTAACACTGTTAGTTCCCCCGTTACTAGTCCAAGTAACGGGCTAGAACTTGACCAAACAGCTGGTGAAACACCTGTAGACCACCAGAACCTCAGGCTCTATTGTCCTTCTCAACATCATTTAATGTTATCGTGAGATTTTGTAATTGCTTAAAATTCATGTTTAGGAAGGAACAAAAAAAAAGAAAGAAAATTACAAAAAAAAGTTAAAAACAAAAAAGACAAAAAAAAGCACAAAATGGAAAAACCAAGAAAAGTATCTGTGACTGAAACAGCAGTATTTTAAGATTTATCCCCTTATTATATATTTATTCGGTTTCATAGCAGCATAGACTGTCAGTACTGAAAGATTCTCCATCCTTAGTAAATAATTACTACTTATAGTGTTACCATTTACCATACCCATTGTATTAGTAATTACATTGTAATTGAAATTATGTTATATATATCCTTGTATTTGGTGTTACTTGTCCCCCGGTTAATTCCCTTTCTTGCCTCTCGTTGGTGAAAATCTTTTATCCTTCTGCTCTAGCTCTTGGTTTCTTGACTAGGTGCAATTGACACCTAGTGGTTTTCTTTCCGGGCATGGACTGACCCGCAGATGTCCCCCAATCTTAAGTTGTGGACTCGTGACAAAAGGATGTGTGGCCATGGGTTAAATGGTTACTAACGGGTCTACTACCCAGGAGGTAGCTACCTGGGGAGCTGGGCGACGCAGGGCAACGCTCAGTGCTCTGTTTTCCCTGCCAACTCTCTAGGGGGTATATCAAGTCCCCCAGTTATGATATGAATTCTCTCTCAAATTTTTCAAACTCTCCTACTCTCCCTACTAATGGGTCAGAGCAGGATCAACAACCTAACATCGCCCCTCCAGCTTGCCGTGAGAGGAAGGCTCGCACTGAGACTTCCACTCGTCACACGTGGAGCAAGGAGGACAACATACAGCTCATGACGCTGTATTACCAGAGCCAACCATCCCGCTCTGGTTACAGAAGGAGACTCCGGTCACTGTGGGATGATGCCGGACTCTTCACTTGTACAGAACAAAGATTGGCAGACCAAGCAAGGTCAATCAGAAATAATAATCTCCTCTCAGACATAGAACTACTGGAGATTCGAGGTACTCTTCCACCTAGCGTAGTGGAAGAGGCTCCAACAACGACAACTGAAGCTCTACCTACAGTCTCCCAAGCAATCAGGACGTTGAGGGATGCAACTATCCCAACTGTTGCCGCTGAAGAACTCACCCCCACCGCAACGGTACCTGATTTTGACAAGGAGGCAATCATTGAGCGGCTAAAAACCCTCTTAGAAGACCCTTCAGTGATAGAAACCAAGCCCCTGAGACATGTGAACAGAAAGAAGCTTATGGAGGAAACATCTCTCATCAACTCATGTATAGCAGAGATTCCTACTTCTTCAATCACTGAAACCAACACTCTATTGCTTGCAGGAGCACATTTAGTCAGCGAAAGACTTGGTGAAAAACCTGCAAATAAGAATGCAGAGAAGCGGAAAACTCCGCTATGGAAAAGAAGAATCGAAGATAAGATTACCCAGGTGAGGAAAGACATCTCTTATCTTGAGGAGAAGAAGAAAGGTATTACCCTTAAACAAAAAATACTAGAAGGGCTCAACAGACGTCACCCCCTGTTGAAGAAAAAGGGTATATCATGCATCATTGAGGAGCTCAAGCAACGTCTTCGTGCAAAAGCAGCTAAGATAAAGAGATTTAATAAAAGATGCGAACGATACCACCAGAACAAGTTGTTTGGAAACAACCAGAGGCAGTTCTACAGAAACCTTCAAACAAACCCTGAAGAACAGGATATCTCCCACCCTGAGGCTGACAAGGATTCTTGTTTGAAGTTCTGGAAGAACATATGGGAGCAGCCGGTTGAACATAACAGTGATGCTGAATGGTTACCGGATGTCAGAACAGCACTAGCCTCAGCAGATGAACAGCGACAGTTTGTTATAACTAACACCCTGGTTGCAGATAGAGTGAAGAAAATGACCAATTGGTCCTCTCCTGGTACAGACGGACTGCATGCTTATTGGATAAAGCACTTTAAAGAACTCCACAATAGGATTGCAGATCAACTTATGAATTGCCTAACCAACGCTGATATCCCTGACTGGATGACATTGGGACGCACGTACCTGCTCATAAAGGACCACTCCAAAGGACCCATCCCAGGCAATTTCAGACCTATTACATGCTTATCAGCTATGTGGAAACTGTTCACTGGTCTAATCTCAGATTCCATATACAACCACTTAGACCAGCAAAAACTCCTCCCCCCTGAGCAGAAAGGGTGCAAGAAGAAGAGCAGAGGATGTAAAGAACAGTTAATGATAGACAAACTCATTCTGAAGAACTGTAAACGAAGGAAGCGGAACCTGAACATGACGTTTATAGACTACAAGAAGGCGTATGATAGCGTCCCACACTCTTGGATTCTGTCTTGTTTGACCATGTGTGGTATCTCTTCATCCATCATAGATCTGTTTGAAGCCTCCTTCAAACAATCGTATGTTAACCTGATGCTTGGTAAAGTTTCCCTTGGGAGAATTAAAATTAATAGAGGTCTATTCCAAGGAGACTCAGTATCACCTATTCACTTTATCATGAGTCTTATACCCCTGTCCATTCTTTTGAATAAGCATGACATAGGATACTCTCTGGAGAAGGGAGGTCGACCGAAAGTGTCACATAGGCTATACATGGACGACCTCAAGTTGTATGCCGAGAGTGAAGACGAAATGCAAACACTGGTTAATACCACAGCAGAGTTCAGCAGTGACATAAAAATGGAATTCGGGCTAGAGAAATGTGCCGTGGTGAAGGTGAAGAAGGGAGCAAGAGCCGTTTTCGAAGGCATCTCCCTACCCACAGGTGAACAGATCCATGAGTTGGAGGACGAGGGCTATAAGTATCTGGGAATACTAGAAGCCAATGATATACTGCACAAAGAGATGAAAGCACTGGTAACAAAAGAGTATATCAGAAGAGTTAAAAAGGTTTTAAAATCCCAGCTTCATGGCAGGAATAGTACACAAGCAATTAACACCTGGGCTGTACCTGTGATAAGATATGGAGCTGGAATTCTCTCATGGAATGCTGGAGAGACCAAAGCCTTAGATGTCAAGACCCGGAAACTGATGAGGATAAATGGAGCTCACCACCCCCAAGGAGATGTTGATCGGTTATACGTAAGCCGTCAACTGGGTGGCCGTGAGCTACATAGTATAGAGGAAGTCGTAAAGAGAGAGGAGAATGCACTCACCACTTATGTGGTGAGAAGTAGAGACCCAGAACTGATTGCTCTGAAGGACTACTTTGTCAAAGACAAGATACTCTTGGGTGAAGAGATAGAGAAAGATATCGACCGAACACAACGCGAGGAAATCCGCAAGGAGAAGTGGACTGCTAAAGTGATGCACGGACAGTTCCCAAGGCAGATGATGGGTATAGCGGACCCGTTAACCTCTTGGAACTGGCTCACTCAACAAGACTTGAAGAAGGAGACAGAAGGATTGTTGATAGCAGCCCAAGACCAAGCACTTAGGACGAATTATGTGAAGCACAGGATTGACAAAACACCTGGCTCTTCTCCCCTCTGCAGACTCTGCAGAAATCATTACGAGACAATAGACCACATACTGAATGGGTGCCCAAAACTTTCACAGACAGAATATAAGTGTCGGCATGACAAAGTAGCTGCCGCATTGCACTGGAGTCTGTGCAAGGAATACGGCTTCCCACGCAGTAAAAGGTGGTACGAACACCGGGCAGAGAAGGTGCTGGAGAACGAAAAAGTCAAGATATTGTGGGACTTCCATGTCCAGTCGGACCACGTTATCGAACACTGCAGACCGGATATCCTCCTGGTAGACAAGGTAACCAACGCAGCAACCATCATTGACGTTGCAGTCCCAGGAGATACCCGGATCCTGGATAGAGAACAAGAAAAGATATTGAAATATCAAGACCTAAAAAGAGAAATTAAGAAGAACTGGAATTTACGAAAGGTCACAATCGTCCCTGTGGTGATAGGCGCATTAGGAACTATCACCATTAACTTTCGTAAACACCTCGACGCAGTCCACTGCAATCTGAGCATCTCTAATCTCCAGAAGACAGCTCTGCTTGGATCAGCCAGAATTCTCAGGATGGTCTTAGACATATGATTTTATTGAGAGTATAATACACTGTAGATACTCTATATTTAGTTTTTTCTTCACTGGATACTGTAATAAACACTTTTTACCTGGTCCTCTTATATCTCTTCCCTTGCTATGCAAGCCCTGCCTCTTGTTTATACAATTTTTAACCCGTATATTGGGTAGTCTGTGTATTTGTTATGTATTTTATATTAAATACAGCTTTGTGTACATGTAATTATTGTTATTTACTGGACTAAGGGGTATACATGTGTTGGAGTTTTTCTCTTATTCTTCTTCTCTTGCTCTGCATGCCCTGATTCTTGTATAAACATGATGTTTGTTTAAATATTGTATATTCTTGTATTGATTGTGGTATTTTGTGGGTCAGATTCAGCAATACCCAATGGGTACTTGCTGAATCACTGTTTTATACACTCTGTAGCCAGTCCCTGTGTTCCGTCCCTTGCCCTGCAAGCCCTGTTTCTTGATTATACAGCATTTATTTATAGTGTATTACATTGTAGTATGTAATAAACATTTGTAGTAGTGTAGGATTGTTTGAATTTCTTTTTGCTAGGTTTTATAATATCTATTTGTATAATTTGTGATTGTTTCTCCCTGTTTTCTTCCCTTGCGTAGCAAGCCCTGTCTCTTGTAAAAACAACCTCGAAAGATTTGTAGATACACATAGTCTCTACACCTTTACCCTCTGGTCCCTAGGGTCAGCTGATCCCGGGCCAGAGGAAAACTACCGACTGCCAAGGTTTGACGCCTAGGCAGTCGAGACCTCTTATTGAGACCCTTTATAATAACTAGAAATTTATACATCGCTTTATTGCCAAAAAGAACTCAAAATCCAAAGATTCAGTTCAAGCCATCTAAAGCGACTCAAGAACATGTACATAAGAATTTAGCATCTTATGAAGTATGGTTTGTATGAGAAAGATATTATATAATACTTATATGAACACTTTTTCAAATAGATGAGTCTTTAGTCTCTTTTTAAACAAGACAATATCAGTCAATGTTCTCAATTGATGAGGAAGCTGATTCCATACTGAGGGTCCACAGTAACTAAAACCTCTCTCAGTTTACTATAATTTGAGACAGGAGGAACATTTTGGAGGAAATAGTCTTGTTCAGTTCGTAGCACACGTACAGGTTGACTCTTGATGTCGATGCATTTGGTGATATAGTCTGGAGCTATGTTGTTGATGCATTTGAACACTGTTAGAGCAATCTTATACTCTATTCGCTGTCTAATTGGAAGAAAATGGGCCTTTTTCAGGAATGGAGTGACACTGTCCCATTTTTTAATAGCTTTTCTACCAAACAAGAATCGTACACAGGAATTTTGTACCCTCTGGAGTTTCTTTATGAGAAAATCGGGTAAACCATAGAGAAGTCCATTGCAATAGTCTAGTTTTGAAAAGATCAAACAGTGAATGAGCTGTCTTTTTAGGTCATAGTTAAGCTTTGAGCCTATAACTCGAAGGTTCCTCAAATGGATGTTGCAACAACTTATAATTGAATTGACTTGATCTTCAAATGTAAGGAATTGATCAAAGAGCACACCTAAACTTTTTACTGTGTGGGATGCATCCACAGGGTCAGCTGCCTTGTCAAGTTGTATTGAGTCGACTGGACATGAAGAGTAACTGTTATTGGTCTGTACTACAAGAGCTTCTGTTTTGTTTTGGTTTAATTTGAGTTTATTTTGGGTCATCCAGCTCTTAATTTCTTGAAAACAACGTGTAATTCTCTCTTCGATTGTTGACAGATCTCGAAATAGTGGGTTAAACTCAATGTAAAGTTGGGTGTCATCTGCGTACATGTGGATGTTAAATCCATGTCTCTTTGCAATATGATTAAGCTCCTTTGTGTACAGTATAAACAGAATTGAACCTAGAATTGAACCTTGCGAGACTCCAATTCTAAGGAAGCATCTCTTTGATCTTGATTTATCAATAGTTACAGCGAAGGATCTGTTATTAAGGTATGATGTAAACCATTCGAGAACAGTACTTTCAAAACCAAAATATTTTTTTAGTTTTAGAAGGAGTAAGTGATGATTTACAGTATCAAAAGCAGCGCTAAGGTCCAAAAGGAGGAGGATAACCTTGCTTTTCATGTCACTGATACAGAGGAGATCATTGTAAATAGTAAGGGTTGCAGTTTCGCAGCTATGGTTTGACCTATAACCACTTTGATGTTATCTTATATACCTAGCTTAGTAAGTAACTCTTATATACCGAGCAATTTCTGTTGGCAGGGTTAGTTAGTTAACTTTGATTACATACATTTTGTCCTAAAAAATCTGATTTTATCGGAGTCTTATACTTTTGAGAAAATTTAATGTTGTTCATTCATTGTGTAAATTTGTATGTAATTGATCGATTTGAAAGATTTCAATAAAAAAGGTATAGGATTACAGATTAGGCCGCCTCGTGAAAATTTTTGCGCCTCAGCCCTCAATTTGAGGAATTTTGACGCCAATTTACGGAAAGCTATGTCCTATCCCAGCAGCTACTCCTCGTAGCATACCTCTTACGGAAAATACCTAAGTAGTGAAATTACTGAGCTGTCAGCTGAATGAACAAATGAACAATTCCACTTAACATGTCTGAGCTGTAATGTTTGGTACTCTGAATATGAGTCCTGCACACACACACACTACCTGCACAGTAGTAGTATCATAGCACACTGCTATTGGCAGGGTTACATACCAGCCATTCAGCCAGGTCAGCATGTCAGTATGTACTATGTTAGTATGTTGGATATAATCTAAATTACATGTTGACAAGGCTCACTGTTCCAAATATTTCCTGTTGTTAAGGCTTATTTGATAGTTCAGGCAGTCTATATTTCTTATATTAACGTTCGGTAACCAACGTTAGAAGGTTCTAGAACTCTTATAATGTTGGGAGAATTGCCAGTAGTAACATATATAGCTTTACCTTGTCATGAGCAATGTCCTGCGTACGTGAAATTGTGACTTGGAATAAATAAAATTACATAATATGTTACTGTAAGTTAATTTATAATATGTGGGAGATAATCGATATATTACGAAGAAAATAACTGAAAAGTTATTTTAAATAATAGCTCTGCTGTTGAATTTTCAATAAAATTTGCTTAAAATGTTAAAAATCCTATAATATAAATAATAAGGAAATGTAATATAAATATAAGGAAATGGTCTTTGATCAGAAGTTTCTTGAAATATTGTATGTGTTTTTTTTGTGCATTGTGCACAGACGACAATGCAGTGAACAGTTTAACTGTATAATGAATGGCACCAATTTCTACTATAATCGAATTCTTTGAATCCAGCGATCAGATTACAAGATGGTATCAGTTGTAAAACGTCAGAGTGTTCACCGCGACCGGGAGATCCATTATCAGGCAGCTTACATCCCAACTTACCAAAACACGTACAAAAATATCACTACATATCCGCACACATACCTCCCTGATTGATATTGCATTTGATTAGATAAGATGGAATTTGAGTGTGTTTACTCTTCACTTTTATACTAAAATGAACTAATGAACCTTAAGATCGTACCTACAAATTACAAACTGTATCGCAGCTTTTTTTCTCAAAAATAAAAAATCCAGACCATACTTTAATTATACTTTATCCAAGTTAAGGTCCCTCTCATTCAGGAAATCCGCTTACTTTATGTCATCCAGATTTGTAGCCATTGCAACAGGTTTTACAATCAGAAGAGTTCAGATGTTACGTCAGCATTACTAGGGGCGAGGTAAGCCCCAATGATGACGCTTATGTAATTTCCACAACAGTTATGTGTAATCTTGCTGACGTAGGTGGAAGAAGTGTGAACATGGTGTAATATTGCTGACGTAACATGTGAACCGTCCCTTATCTTTTTATTTACTTTACATCATTCTCATTCACAAGATCTGGTTACTTCAAATAGATTGGTAACTCCTTCAAAGGGGTGCTACAATTTGTGATGTGTTCCAATAATTTCATGTGATTACATATTATGTGAATATTGAATATATTCATTTCCTCACGCACGTCGCACATGAGCTATTTATACACTCAGCCATGTGTAATCAACGTTTCTCTAATACTGGAAATACTCTACTGTCTAATTAAAGCAATGGTGTTGGTCAATTAGTGGCAAATATAGTATATATAGATGTTTATTTGAAGTTTAGTGATATGACTTACGCGCTGTAATACAATCTAGATAAGTTTATAATCTTGTATTCAGGAATCGTATAGGTGTACGAAATGAGAACGTATTTTTCTATACATTGGGAGTTTAGACATCTACTTGACTAACGACATAATTGCCCCCTTTATCGAAGTTAATTTGCAAACGGGCTTTCTTTAAGACATACATGTAACGCGCGGCCGCCGAACGCTTCTCATCTGGTAATTCTCTATGGCAAGTTCAGTAATTTTCTATTTATGGCGCGCGGCTCAGTCCAGCTACGTCATTATTTGTCACGTGACCAGACCACATACGGCATAATTGAGCATCCAGCAAGTTCTAGAACAAATGGTCTGCAATACCGCTCATGTCTTTCTCTTTTGTCCAGACACAAGTCACATACTGAGTACTGACCGCGTGATAAAGTAGAATAATGTGTTTGGTCACGTGAGCTTGTAGTTTGTAAAAGGAATTTCACACCGTTCATACCGAACAGTAACTGATAAATAACTTGCCTGGGAGTTTCCGCAGATTCACTAGCGACGAACGGACTTAACGGAGTATTTTTAACTTAATTATCAGTCTAAATGTGACTCAGGATGTGTCACTGGAGTTTTACCAGGTTTTACAGTTAACTAAATCTAAACTTTTCAGCTATGCTGCATCTCTCACTGTCAGCTAGTGTCTCAAAGATAATATCCAGCACGATTATGTACCCCACCGGTAAGTTTCATACTAATCATGATTCTTTTACTGCTTTTGAGTAGTATCTGGTTAAAAATTGCTTCGTATAAAACTATAAAGCTATTGTCGTAGTTTGAAGAATTTGTTACAAATTTAGTGAGACTCAAACTAAATTTTCAGAGGTTGTCAGGACGCGACTCCGAGAAGATCTGGAGACCTCTGAACGCAAAAGAAAGTAAGTAAATCATTTAAATACATTATTATTAAGTTGTTAGCTCACATTTTATCAGCTGTTCTTCCAATCAAATTAATCTAGCGATTAAGGAACGTTTTTATAAAAATGTTGTATCTTGCTAAACCCGGCTCATCTGAACTGATAACGTTTCTCTGTACAGGTACAGGAAGTTCTGGCGGACATGTGAGCTAATCTACAAAGAAGGGGGGGGTGTAACCCAAAAAAACCCAACTCCTACCCAAGAAAAGGTAATACTGGGATTGGGTTTTTTTGGGTTTTTTTGGGTTTTTTAAACAAAATTTAAACAAAATTATAGCCATTTCATTTGTTGTATAAAATGTGAATTATTCCCACTGGGTCTTACCTACGTGTTGTTCTCATGTCTTAACTTAATAGATAGTTTACATAGTATATAAGTGTGTTTATATTGATAGTATGTTATCACGATAGCAAACAGGATGTCTCGTTCATCGAGATATAATCCATATGAATGCACAAAGTGGAAATGTGCCAAATGTGGCAAATTTTTTCTCCTGTCATGGAAAGATGGAAGGAGGCTATGACGAAGGTCAAGGGCAAGTCAAAGCACATGACTTAAATAACTTAACTTAAGGCGGCTTCAGAGTCCGAGTTTCGATGATGTGTCTCCAAAGCTTTCTGTCCGCCATAAGCTCCTTAATCTCCCCAGTGTTCTTGAGTCCGGTGTCACTTCTTAGGTTATCGACGAAGGTGAGCGGTGGTCTGCCCCTCCCTAGGTTCCCAAAGGAGAAGTTGGTGTGCTGCCAGGTCATCATGTCGCTGGATGTGCCCAGCCAACCTCATTCTTCTGGCCTGTATCTTCGAAATAACTCTTGGGAGTGATCCAAAGACCTCCTGATCCTTGTTGGTGCGATGTCCTCTCCAGTCCACGTTTAGGGCCATCCGAAGCATTCTACTGTAACATCCGTCTATTCTTTTCTTCAAAGATTCTGTTATTGTCCACGTTTTCGTTCCATACAGGAAGATTGATTCAACCGTAGCTTGAACAGACGGATTTTTAAATCTCGGCGCAAATTGGACCTCCATATAGCCTACATTTTGTGGCAGCCCATGCCTTGGCCTTGCGTAACCTAAAGTCGTACTCCGTTGTACTAAAACCCTCAACTTCTTCTAATATATATAAGGCATGTCCGTTCTTAGAAATTATTGTGTGTGGCTCCTCTCCTACTAAATTAACTGTAAGATGCTTGGTTTTAGACAAAAGAGATTTCCTGCCTCCTCATCACTCATCAGATGAGGCTTCTGTAGAGATTCTGTAGAGATTTCCTGCCTCCTCATCAGATGAGGCTTCTATAGGACTGAGGCTTCTGTATGACTGTAGCATGTGATGACAGTGAGCCTGGGCTTTCCATTAAGAGACATGGTGAGGATCCTTGCGCTGTAAGATTTTATAACTTTATAAGACTTATAGCCTCATATGCTATCCTCGTCAAGATGATTCCTACTCTCCCATTAGAAGCGCCAGCTGCGTTTCTCCACGCAGATGAGATCACTGGATGAATCCCTTTGTTAATCTTGTCTATTCTGGTATTCTCAGCAATCAGCATAGACTACCCGATGTTCGATTCTTGGAAGGATGTGCAGCTTGCTTCGAGAAAATAGTTCTTCAAGTTCGATGCGTTTGTGCTGTTCTCTGGCTGTTCTTATGTTAAACGTGCCAACCTGAGCAGCCCTTTGACATGATACAATACAATTGATGTTCATTTTTTTTTGATGTTTTCTTGTTTGACTTTCTGTAGAAATAGGTTGTCGTGTTGTGGAGACCGAGTCATCAGCTTCTGTAATAGCAGCGTAATTACCCCGGCAACCACTTCCACTAGAAAAATAAGGGGCTTTAACCCTTAAGCTCTTAAGCTGTTGATAAACTTCATCTTGACTTTTCAGTTGGCTCACAATCCTGTGCAGTCCCCTGCACATTGGCAGTGGATTGTGTTCTTAACTCTTGTGCCACTAAAAGGTTAAGGGCATCCGCTTGAACAATAGCCATCTTTAACTCTCACCATAATATCTTGAGCATGTAATTGCACGAACATATGCTATACAAGACAAATGTGACACTTCCTTTTTCTACCCAACAGCATCAGTTGTAATCCTTACCCAATCGTCACCTGCTCCAGTGTGGGACTTTCCGATTTTAAGTTATCCAGTACCCCCTGTCTAGTATCCAGTCCCCCTGTCCAGTATCCAGTCTTCACCACGCGGAGGTAGTGGCTTTCATCATGCTGTCCGATGAGTGTCTGGAAGAGGGCACCAGCAGGATACGCCTTTTCAAAGTTCTGGGAGCCTCACATCAGACCAGGGCTTCCACCCAGCGGTGACGCCTTGGGCCACCTAAGCTTCACACAACCATTGAAAGACCACCTGCCTACTTGTAAAAATTTTGATGATGCGATTATTACAGTCGAGGGTCTGATGCTGTACATTCTCAGTGTAACAGCTGACAACAGTTATCAACACTTTATGCCCTGTTTACATCCGATGCCTGCGAGCAAACTTTATGCTTTCCAGCGCATAGGCCTCCATGCAGGCATTAGAACTAATCTGTGTTCTAAGGATATGTTGGTTGGCATGGGCAAATCAAACCGTTCCCTCGAGCTTGATGCACTCGGCAAAAGTTTGATCCCTGTAACAGTTGCCCACTCTCGCAATAAGCTTGTTATACCGCATCCGAAAGCAGAGAAACTATTTAGAGGTAAAGATACTTCAATCCCAAGATTGTTACAAGCTATGAAGAAGGGAGTCTCAAGGGGTAGAGAACTCCTTCAAGAACACTGTAACTTTGAAGGAGAGGCTTTCCAACCATCTCCTGACGGAGCAGAGAGTGACGAAGCGGAAACAGATGATGAAGAAGAGGAAGTGGAGGATATTGACTCATCAGAGGAATGGGCGAAAATAGTAACTGTGTATGGTGATGCTCTGCATTATGATACGGCTGTTGAGGTTTGCCAATTGCCTCAATGGAGGGCGAGATCGAATGCCATCCCAGTCAAGATTTTAGCGACTCCAGGGCCATAAACAAGCGAAGATATCACTTAATATCACATGTGATCATGCAGCTGATGGTAACTGCAAGATTCTTTCAGTTGGAGATAGAGCATGGTTTCTCGTTAAGCGGATGATCAGGAAAACGGAAACAGAGATCATGAAGGTGAGAAGAAAGGCTTTATTCCTCTCGTACCGGTTGCGGTCAGGGTTGGTGTCATCAGTGAGTTGCGTCCCTACTAACTCAATTTGCCATGGCCATCGAAGTGAGCATTACATATGGCTGATATCATATCTGGATGGCCAACTTCTTCTGAGCACATCAGTGAATAAAATACTGCTTTTGGGTGATATTTAAGCGATTATATCTATTGTGGTGTTGTAGTGATGAACCACAACAGTGATGTTGTACTGATAATTTTTTTGCTAGGTGCCTACATGATTTTATTTCCTTCAAATAAAAAATTTGTAAAAAACCCAAAAAAACCCAAAAAAACCCAACTCCTACCCTGAAAAAGGTAATACTGGGATTGGGTTTTTTTGGGTTACACCCCCCCCAAAGAAGAAGGTCTAGTCGGAATGTACGGGGGCTGGGTTCTGCACCTTTACAAAACTATTCCCTTTACTATCATCACATTCCTTGTGTACGAGGGGTTACTGGATAAGTTTCAGAAATCCTCTTACTTTCAGAACTACTGAACAAAATATTTTTAATTAGGATAATACTAGGTAATACGTTGCTGTGTTCTGTCAAAATGTGAGGCCGAAGTTGGTTGCTGAGATGAAATGGTAGTTTTGAAAAGATGATTGATCAGTGGATGGAAAGAAATGATTCATAACCTAATACGAGCTGTGCGTGATGATTGGAACAATTTAACAGTCGGAGATATGTTTGCATATTTCTGTACTGCTTATCATTCTAGAGACGGGAGCCCAGATCCGAAACACTTTCTCCTGGACTGCTGCTGAATTATTTGTGTCATTATTTGTTTTACCCTCTTATTCTGGCGAACTTTAATCGATTCAGTGCAGTCGTTAATGTCACAGCTCAACTGCAGTATCTTATCTTTTGAGCTGCAGTAAAATTAGAGGCTATCTAATCGTTTCAAGTTGAACGGTGTCATTAAAGAACTCCCAAAACTTAATTATATAGTAGTTCTGGTAAGTTATATAAAATATGAGAATTGATGGATATGAATTGATGGTTGGGATTTGGATGGTAGATATCTGGATTGTGCCCTGATTATCAAACGTTCTACTACACAGTGCCCTTAACTATAATCAGTTCCCTGACACCAGATTTCCTGAAAAAAATCCTAGCTACACTTCAAAAAATTCATAATCTTTGCTTTTACATTTTTTATGGAATTTATACCCAAGAGAAATTTCCGAAATGATTAATGAAGAACTGGATTCAGTTCCAAATTTGTGATCAAAGTCACCCAAAGTTAAATGTTTAATTTGTTATATGTGTTGATTTTCCTTCTGTAAATAAATCTTTCTAGCTAGAAATTAAGATTACATTTATTATTCTTAAAATTGTCTAAGAAGTAAGAATAGAAAATAATTAAAATCGTCGTTTTACTATACATTATTGGTTATAGACAGATATTATGTTGTTTCTATTAATATTAACTTATAGATTTATGAACAGCGAGGTTTTGGATTTTTTCTAGTCGATTTTGCAATATTCTATAGTCAGATTATATAGATAGTTGATATTCACATCTTATAAAGCCCATGGTAGTTATACTTAAAACACAATTGTTCGCTTTTTAATTTATGGTAACCTAGAGATCGTTCACAAACTAGATATTTTGTACACCCTCCGATAGTAATCTTACAAATAGCCCTTGAGTAAAAGTTACACTACAATTCAATTTACATAAACATTTCCTTTAACATGTGAACGATCTCTTATGATTCGGATTGTAAAATATTCAATTTGTACGCTGTTGCTGCTTTGTTATAAAATAGCTTTTTAGTTCTTTGATATAACTCAATGTGTTGTTATTGTTTAGCAAAACTCACGTGACCATGACCAAAATTCTATCAAACATTTATCCGATCTTTTAAAATTTATGAGAAAATCAACTGTTGTTTGAGTAAATACAATTGGACAAGCAAGTCTCAACATGCATTAATCACTCTGCAGATGTATTTCTTTCATTAACGAGTGTTTTATTGTGTGATAGAGATAGTGTTTTTGTTGTGTGATAGAGATAGTGTATGCCTGTAATTTATCTCAAAGAAGACCTCGTACTTTCCAGTCTTAACTCCGCAGCTGTCCCGTTCTCAACCTTTGCTTTAAGTTTGATGGTTCTATACCGAGTAACTTTAACAGTTTAGCAATTGCAGATAATTTCATGTCCAACGGAGTGTGTCACCACTAACCATCAGACGTCGTTTATTTGTTACCTACTACAAAGAAGTATCTCCAGCTAAAGACTAGTACTACTCTTACTGATCCGATAAGAATCTTTCCTTGTGTTCATTCTGCCAAAAGAGAAGATAGCATTACAAGTTGTAACAGAATCCCGCCAGTACAACTATCAGCATTCTTCCATCTCACTCGCTAATCAGAAATGGTATTAGAAGTTCTAGCTCTCTTTCCCCGGCTCGCCCCCTTCAAAGTCATCACCCTTGACGATGTGTGGGACCAGTGGAACAGGAGCTTCATGTTCATCATGACCGTCCTATTTGGGAGTATAGTCACTATACGGTCATATACTGGGAGTGTCATAGAGTGCGACGGCTTTTTAAAGGTGTGGAATCCGCGTTTTTATTAAATATTGCATTAGTGATTATGTTGTGTGCGTGTGGGGCAAGACTTACTGAGGTCAGAGCAGGCAGATTAATTTTTAAAACCTCCATATGACATGGTCTGTGTTCATGTGCAGTCACTGTAAGACTTCAGTGGCATATTTAAATAGAAATTCAGCGATCTAGACTAACTTAAGCTTTAGTTTACAATTTTACATATCGACAACGGAAAAGCTTTTGGCTACAGGGCATGATGATTGGATTTCCAATGTAAACTAATTTCTGTTTCACGGAGCTAACAAGTGTAAATGTATCGTTAGACCGGCACGTTAACGATTTCTCATGGGAATAAGAGGCAATGATGCACTAAAGTTGAAGCTAACTCCACCTAAAGGAACATGCTGTCTACTAAAATTATGATGTATCAGCATTAAGATCAAGAAGAGGCTCTATTTATTTAAGAGATGCCTTAAAACAGCTCCCAGCCCAAACTCCCACTTGTAAAAACGAGTTCACGTCCAAATTAATTACCGTGATTTTTGTTGTGTTCGAGTCTATTTTTGGCAAGCGAATCACCAACTTTAAGTGGAGTTAGCTTCAGTGCATCGTCCACTTTTGAAATAACGTTGATTTATTAAAATACTGTTAGAACAGTAACGTGTTACTCAGGTTCCGGTTGAGTTTGCTAAGGATTATTGTTGGACGCAAGGGATCTATACTTTAAGAGAAGGGTACGACTACCACAGCTCCATTTTACCTTACCCGGGTTCGTGAAAATTTGGTGGCTTAAATTAAAGAATACTATGAGGGCCATTATTTAAGGACACCGAGATGGCGAGAAGAAATTTCAATAATTCTTCACTATTAATTATTATTTTCATTAGTTAACTTATTACCTGCATAATGATAATGCATATTAACCAGCTAACAAGTTAATCTAACGTTTATACTAATACACGAGCTTCCTCAGGAGTCTTTCCTGAAGATGTACCAGGCTGCTTGGATAAAATTCTCGACAACGGAGGCAGGATTGTTTGCCCTTTGGACAAGAAATACGCCAAATTTCAGAGGTAATAGTAGTTGCCTGACTTCGAGATCTGGAATTTATTTGGGCTATGATTCGATTTTCTGCCTTTTTACCACCATATTTCATTGTTTCAACGTTTGAATCCTTCTATCACAGAGTTTACCATTCTTGGTACCAGTTTACAGCATTCTACTTCTGGACCGCTTCCTGCGCTTTCTTCCTACCCTACATGATGTTCAAATTCTTCGGTAGGAGCTAGTTAAACAGATTTGGAAATTCTTTTGACGAAATTATAAATCTTGAATACTAAATCCGAACCCAGCATTCTCTCATTCTACTCAAAACATTGAGGATGATATGAGCTCTATAGTCTATAAGTATATACCTACTCCTTTATAGAAGACGATGACAATTTCTTAATGGCGATATAACTCTGACTTTTTATTTGATGTACCTTGCAGGTATGGGTGACCTGAAGCCGGTGATATCAATGTTACACAATCCAGTGGAGACAGCAGAAGAACTAGACATGCTCACTAAAAAGGCTGCCAGGTCAGTAGGACCTTTAATTCCTGTTTTTAATCTTGGGTTTCCGTCCTGCATAACCCCTGTTTTCTGTCCTGTATAACTCGTCATGTCAAAGCCAGACACTTGGTTTTAATTGTTGTTCTGTATGTTATTCATCTAACCCCAGGTGGCTATACGTTCGGGTTCACGCCTACATCCACACCGACCAGTACTACGGAAAGAGAGTAGAGAAGCACCTCCTCTTCTTCTCAATCATGCTCACTAAATCCTGCTATCTCCTCTTTTCTGTTATCCTCTTCTGGCTGACCGAGAAGATGTTTCACATTGGCAGCTTCATGAGTTACGGGCTTGACTGGGCTGCTGAAGAATCAGAGGTATTGACAGTGACCATGTGACAGTGACCATGTGATAATGACCATGACGTGACAGTGACCATGTGACAATGACAATGCTATTTTTTTCTTGCTTTACGGTCGTGCTTTCTCGAGAGTTTTGTTTCCTATTTATACTCATGTTACACACTCATGTTTACACTATGTTACAGCTCATGTGATCAACATTTTAATGAGAAGGAGAATACTCACACTGAGTCAAACTGAGTGAAACTTATGTGACCAAGGTTTTTATCGAGAGATTAACTTAATTTTTATTTCAGCCTGGTGAGGATTACAAAAGTCTAATACAAGACAAGCTCTTCCCAAAGATGGCTTCCTGTGAGATAAAACGCTGGGGAGCTACAGGTAACTCTTTTTCTTAGAAGCTCGGTGACAGAATTTTGTGTTTAATTAAAAGATATTAAAAGAAGTTATGCGAAAATAGTGATCATTTTTGTCGCAGGTGAGTGATGTTTTTGGTAGGTTTTTCATTCGTTATTCGCTTTATATTTGAAACCAAAACTGTGCCCAACCGTGAACTGGGCCAATATAGGCACCAGGTTTCGCTTGTTTGTGAGTGCTGACAAGCTAGTGTGTTGCAGGAATTGAAGAAGAGCAAGGAATGTGCGTTTTAGCGGCCAACGTTATTAACCAATATCTCTTCCTAATCTACTGGGGAGGAATGGTTATCACTGTAATCGTTAACGTACTCTCCGTCCTGATAGCCCTCAGCAACCTCTGCTTCATCGAGGGAGCTTACAGGAACCTACTCGCTACAGCCTTCCTCCGGGATGAACCCGCTTACTCGGAGATCTGGAGGAAATCAGGAACCTCGGGCCGTGTGATCCTGCAACTGATCGCAAAGAATGTGAACCCCAAGATATTTGAGCACGTGTTGAATGAGCTGGTTAACTTGTTGAGAATGGCGGACAGGTCAGGGTTTGATTCTAGAGCCGAGGAGGAGGATGAGTTTGTACACCCTGACAATGAAATGGAGTTTGAAGACACTTTGTAGTCTCGCTAGTTCAACTAGGTTATGTTAGTTCAATCATATAGGCTCCTTAAGTTCAAATAAGACAGCGTCTTGGTGACGGTGAAACCTTCAAAATCAAAGTTGGTAGCGATGAATTACAGAGGCACTAGAAAAGGTGTACTTTTACCCAGACGTCACACAGGAATGATGCCGATTAAATATAGGATCACTAACTTTTTCCAGTCGAAGAAGCTTCTGTTGTTTTTAATTTAACAGCTAACAGTAACGTTATCTTGCCACATCGGGCATGGAAATTATTTTATGTCGTTTAATATTGATACCTTCGAAGAATTACATCAATTTATAAGATTTATTTTCGTTGAAGGAAAAGGTACGCCAACGGTCCACTGTAGCCAATTTAAGACTTCTGTAACTACTAAATATGTTGTATGTATATATATATTTTATAAATTGATTTATAATCATTTGCAATTATTCTCATAGTTTTATTGGTTCATGCATAGATTATCGTTAATACTATCAAGATCAGATAAAACATAACGATTTGAATCGAATCTCAACCAAAGTAAGATAAGACCAAGTCTATCAAATGAAGCATAGATAAAACATGCCAACACCAAATTTTAAAGTTCTTGCGATAGATCCGGAAAAATCTCGAATCATGCCCAAGAAGTGCAGCTATTTCGACAGCATTTAATCGACAGCGCAGTTAAAATTTTACACCATTAAAATACAATAGCAAACTTTAAAATGAGTTTAAAACTCCAAAAATTTATTCATAGTCAATTTTCCAATGTCTGGTATGTTGCTTAATTAAGCATCTTTAGATTGTTCCTCGGACTGGTACTGCTGAACAGCCTTGCTGATGGTATCCTGGACAAAGATTTCAACTTCTGCTTCGCTCAACGGCTTATCTTTATCTCCGCTAACAAGTTGGTTATCTTCTTCAATCACACCAGAAATGTCTTCACAGTTATCCTGCCCTCTCCCTGTCTCACTCTCTACAGCTGCTATCTGACTATCGTCTTCGATATCCACGAGATTTTCTTCCTGGACATCATATTTCTTCTCAACTACGGCAGTAATATGATCAACATCTTCCTTCTCAACTACGGCTGCTATTTGATCATCTTCCCCTTCTACAGGAGTAACCTGGTCGTCAACTTCAACCAATAGCTGGACATCATCTACTACGGCTGATATTTGATCATCTTCCCCTCCTACAGGAGTAACCTGGTCGTCAACTTCAACCAATACCTGGACATCATCTTCCTTCTCAACTACGGCTGCTATTTGATCATCTTCCTTTTCTACTGCAGTAACCTGATCGTCAACATCAACCTGAACCAATAGCTGGACATCATCTACTACGGCTGATATTTGATCATCTTCCCCTCCTACACGAGTAACCTGGTCGTCAACTTCAACCAATACCTGGACATCATCTTCCTTCTCAACTACGGCTGCTATTTGATCATCTTCCTTTTCTACTGCAGTAACCTGATCGTCAACATCAACCAATAGCTGGACATCATCTACTACGGCTGATATTTGATCATCTTCCCCTCCTACAGGAGTAACCTGGTCGACAACTTCAACCAATACCTGGACATCATCTTCCTTCTCAACTACGGCTGATATTTGATCCTCATCTTCCTTTTCTACTGCAGTAACCTGATCGTCAACATCAACCAATAGCTGGACTTCATCTACTACGGCTGATATTTGATCCTCATCTTCCTTCTCTACAGCTGCTATTTGACTATCATCTTCGATATCCACAAGATTTCCTACCTGAATTTCATCATCTTTCTCAACTACGGCTGCTATTTGATCAAAATCTTCTTTCTCTACGACTGTTTCCTTATCATCAACTTCACTGACTTCTGCGGCTGTTACCGGATCATCATAATTCTCCTGACTTGCAGAATCCCACTCTTCACTTGCAGGTGCATCAACTTGCTGTTCTGTTATAATCTGCGCTTCCGATTGTGTCTCAGCTAATATGAGGCTATTCTTGTTCTCGACTACTGGTTGATTAGGGGGAGTGTCCCTATCCTGTCCTTTAGTTCGTCTGTCTGTATATTGTTTGAAGAACTCTGTCAATGTCCGCTGGTCCACGTACTTCTCAATCTTTGACCGGAGAAACTGTTTAGTAGGCTCTTTCAACTTGTCCCAGAAATCAAGCACGATGCACATTATAAGCAAGTAGATAAGATAGGAGGCGATAAACGTGGACGTCTTTATGACGACATCATATGTGACGTCATAAAGGGAGTGTGTGACGTCATCAGCTCCTAGGAGGACTGAGTCAACAGCCTCTTCTGTTCGCTCTGCTATCTCTTCCATCTCTGTTTCACCATCAAGTTATCATTTTCTAATAAATGTACGTTGTTAGTGGGGCCACTGTGGTGTCAATGTGTTTATCGACCAAATCAGTACAGTATGGCACGTGCCAGAGCAAATAATAAAAAGACGCTACTAAAACTTAACCCATTTAAAATTTTGTGACGATACATTTTTTCAAAGCAGCCGTACAAAAGGCTGCGAACAACTTTAAAACTAACGGAATGTAACAAAGGTAGAGGGTTCTAAAGCAAGTTAATGTGAAAATGTACACTAATGGCCTCCCCAATGACAGATACACTGCTGTTTAACAAAGGAGGGGTGCTATTTTGACTTTGTATTGTCAAACATTCGCATTTACCTAGAGTTGAACCCTCCTGTACAGTACTGGACACTGGATCTAGTGTAAGATATATAGCATCGCATAAAATGCACTGCACAAACATAGCTCTACAAGCAGCGTATAGTACACGATTATAAATGGTCTGCAGTAATCTCGAGAAAAAGAACCTGGGAACTGATCGCTGCACATAGGTGACAGCGATCTTGCTGCAGATTGAGATAGAAGAGAAAGCGACCTTTAATAAAATGCAGCTTTGCTGTTATTAAATGTTAATCTGGCATGGTTCTGACAGCGGGTACTGACTGTATGTTCAGCTGAGAACAAGCGGCCGGCTAAACTAGTAAAGGCACACTTTAACAGCAAAACTGAATTAGGACTAATTGGTGTTCTGAGGTAATCAAAAGGATATCCAATCATGCATGCAGTGTGGGTGCCATCTACGGTGGGTCACAACTCCCATGTTTGTACGGCCCTTTTACATATTACTCATTTTAATCACTTTTACTTGGCAAGAGAGTGAGATAGCTCATAATTATCATATTAAAGTCGAGGTATCATGAACTGTAGAGGAAGAAAATGATAGACTTAGAGCAAAGGATCGTACATTTGATGGACTGAAATATATCGAATAATCTTTGGAAGTTTGGAACATGTTGATGATCGAAACCGGACTATTGTAGTATTGAGGTACATTTGGCACAATTGGGGTAAAATTCTGACGAAGTTTAAATTTACAATATACTACGAAACTTCAATGAACTGATTGTTTGAAAAAAGGCAGTGCTGCATTAAAATATTCTAAAAAGCTAAATGACTAGTGGATGAAGGAGACATTAATTAAAATGGTTCCACCTCAGTACCACTTCATTCGGAACAATAGTACGTAATTGTAATATATTTAGTGATGTCTTCTCGTGATTTATTTCAATCGATGGAATAGCTTAAATATAATAGTGGGCAGTAGCTACTGTGTACTGCTGGATAGTAAAATATCTATATTTTGCCGCGCGCGTGCGCCATGCCACAATATCAGTAGCAGTGTAGCACGTGAATCGTTTTTTTACCATGGCGACGCGTCAACTTTAACTTTATATTCACACGTCTTATGTACGTGATTGCACTGGCAAACCTTTTTTTCTGTTGCACTCTAAATGACGATTACTGGCTTTTGAAATTGAGTCAGACAAATGAGCTGGAAGAATATCAAATATGCTTTCAATGGTCGCTTATATCAGTAGGAATTTCATGGTGAGATTGAGAGGAAGGTAGCATCTAACGCAATTAATAATAATGATCCCAAGTATGATGGACCACTTATTATTGATTCAAGTCAATTTTTCGACTATTTCGGGAAAAATTGTATCATAAAATACTGAAACAGTGACTTTCACAGAGGCGCTGCAATAAAACTATGATACTGGTGCTGACAGTTCTAGTATTCTGCGATAGGGCTCTAGCGCAAGACGAAGAAAACAGAAGCAATATTACGTCAAGGATATATCATGGTGTGGATGCCAGTCATGGAGAGTTTCCATTCGTGGTAGGCTTATTCGCGTCACAATTTGATATCTGAATTATAACTGAGTATAATATTAGTCGAATAATGCTAGATTTTAAAAAAGGTGTAGTTTAAAATTCTGCTTGCACATTGCAAAAAGATACTTGGTTTGATACTGATATTCTTACCGTCTGCGTCACAAGGTTGCTCCCTTTTTAAAAATCTTACTTATGTTATGCAATATACTGGCTGATTTATCAGGTTCATACAGGTTTTACTGCTCAGTGAGATGAAATTCCGTGTGACCCAATATGGTACCTATTACGAAAGCGGGCAGTGTGGGGGGTCCATTTTGAGCAAACGAATAATCCTGACAGCGGCTCATTGCGTGGTGAACGATAAGATGGCAACCGGATATAACAGGGTCACGCATCCAGTAAACGTACAGGTAGTCCTGCGTATACAATTTACTCAGTTTCAACTCCGCCAGTCCGATTTGTAGATAACTGCCCTACTGATAGTATCATGTGTTGATATACCCACCAGTTTATAGTTGGAGAAACAGACCAAAACAAGAACGAGGGCACTGAAAAACAGATCGCTATAAAAGGGATAATTGTGCACGAAGACTATAACCCTATAAGCATTGCCAACGACATCGCCCTGCTGATAGCAGATGAGGATATCACCTTCAACAATAAAGTGCAGCCAATATTACTACCAGAGGAATCAGATGTTGAGGAGCTGTATGCTGAAGGAGCCCCTATCACGGTTATAGGTGAAATTATTTCGTAAGAATAGTCGGGGGTTTGAAGGAGGGAGGTTTTGGAGCCTTGTGAACCCCGACTCGGTCACAGGCCTTGTTTTTGTTACATACACTTTCCTGTACACGATTAAATCCCCGGGGCCGGGTGTAAACTCTCAGATCTTGATATAATTATCACGACACAAATAACACTCCAACAGGCTGGGGTAACACGGAAGCGGGAGGGGTGGCTGAAAACTTAAAGAAGCTCTCTTACGCTGTAGTGTCCACCTCCATTTGCAAAAGCTCATGGTCACCTGCATTTATTACTCCTGGTAATATAAATAGCTATGTGCCTCTGCAGTCTGCTCTGATAGTGATTCGTATCTTTAATCAGAATCATAAACCTTTTACCGTGTTGAAAAACTGTGTTTGAATATATTTATGTGTCAGTACAGTGGCCTATTACAAAACTCTTCACCCCATCTCATTGTCAGGTATGATGTGCTCAGGAGAGGCCCCCATGACAAAGGAGCATGCAGCCGGCGGTGACTCAGGTATGTGATGAGAGATGAGTATTCAGTATTTCTTGGTTCAGTAAGTTATTGCATATTCAGATCCATTTTCCTGGTTGTGGTTTAGTAATGCGGTTGGTTAAACCTCTTAAGTTATTAGTACTTAGTACTGGTTTTAATCAATTATCTTCTCTACCAGATTGATATTAGTATCACTATCAATAGTAGTACCACTATCAATAGTACCACTATCGATTTGCAGGAGGTCCTTTGTTCACAAAGAATGGCGGAGATTGGGTCCAGTTGGGGCTGGTCAGTTGGGGACCTCCTAACGACGCAAAGTGGGATAAGTCCTGGGACGTTAACTCTGACGTCAGCTATTTCAAAAGCTGGATAACTGCCAACATGGCCGCGTAAGTAAACGTTAACTTTCGTCATAACTTCATTCTAATGACCACGGCTTAGCGATATCTTAAAGCCAGCTGAACAGTATTTAGATACAATTCATAGCAAAGAGATAATAAGCGATTCATCAAAAGGCGTCCAGACTGTGCCGGAGAAATAGATAGATATTCAATGCAATTTACAAATTGGAGTTACCAGTAATGCTAAACTATAGATTAAAAAAGTCACTGATGCTCGCTAGGTCTTTTACTGATTACGTTGTCGAACTGTCCGCTGAAGATCAGAAGCAGACGGTTTCCTACCAACTAGACATTCGAAATTTTCTTTTCAAGACCATCACAATTTTACCGACTTCGTCCAACAAATATACCACCATAAGTACGTAAAGTTTGATATTCTTGACATGTTGCAATGTTTAAAAAACGAATTGTTTGTGCTCTACTTCAACACTTGAGGGTCTACTTCAATGCTTTCTGCTATTAATATTTAATAGTATCAGACCATATAACCATATTGCAGCCTTTAAATCGGGGAAGCTGGTAAAAAACTCCTTCCTGATGGTGTACGACGGTGATAGTGTATCTTCAGACAGGCAGCTCCTCCAACTTACAAAAAAATCCGAAATCTCCGGACAAACCGTGACAGCAACTAGCAGGAAGGTTCGTGTGACAACTAAACTTACAACTTACTCTTTAAAGAGCATTGAGTGATAATTTCTAGTGCCAATTTTAGAGCAAGGCCCAAAAACTCCTTTTTGATGAACCAAGCAATATATAGCGATTAGTTGACGGCGAGAATTGGGAGGATACAGGATTTTAATTTTATTAAAAAATGTTTTACAGGGCCTAACTGTGGCTTTGATCACGGGAATAATGATACAATATTCTGATGGGTTTACACTGGAATACAGTCAGACTTGTACCCGAGGAGGGTCAAGAAAGCTGCAGTGTTCTGAAGGGTAGGCTTACAATCTTAATTAGATTTAATTAGGACTAATTAGATTTAATTAGGACTAATTAGATTTAAGTTTTTGAGATGACACGTGACATCTCGAGCAGCTCTTAACCAATCAAATGTGGAAGGCTTGCAAAGTTAAGTACTAGGCAAAGATTGATACAACACGTACTATCCCTTCAGATTTGCTGCCTGCAAGGACAAATATTACTGTCTTGACGACTTCATGGTCTGTAATAATGATGACGGATTCGGAGAATGTAAGTCTGATTTACCTGATAAGTATTAGTATTACCGTTTTAAGAAGTTAATATAGTGATGTGGTTAAATTAGAAGTATTGCCATTTAATTCGAACGTTACACAAACTAAACGCAGTATCAAGGTATTTAATTGTTGTCCTCGTAATGTAATGGTGTTGATTCAATGAGGCCAATAATTGGGATCATATAGCAAATACAACATTCAGTTTTGCTAGTGGACATTAAACTTTTAACATATGTCTTGTGAAATCTGATTATGCTGAATTCTATACTGTAAAGACATGGTCTAAGAAACGAAGGTATGGATTATGGAAGGTCAATGGTAACTGCAGTTTACCGCACAACACTACAAGGAAGCAAAATAGTCAAACTATAGACTAAATTAATGACAAATAAAATACAAACTCATTATTATACAGTGTTGTAAAGACTAGACGGTTAAATAGTAAAAACCTAGAGCTAAAATAGCTACTAAATTACGAAGAGCAACCCGTTTGATAATGCCGAAGTAAAAATTGTAAAGTGGATCGTCAAAATAAATTCTAGATGTTTTATAACACTTATAAAATATGAAACATATTCTGTAAAAATGTGCATACATAAAGCCAACTTCTCGTAGTCATAAGATAAGTTTTTAAATAAGCACAGTGGCCATTGACTTTGAGCCTTCTATGTGAAAATTATTACAATTCTGACCAAAATACAAATGAGTGTAACTTATCTAGCATGACAAAGGCTGAATCTCGCTATATAGGTAATCTTATAATCTTATCACTCTTACAATTTAGAGAGAAATCTAATTTAATTTTCAGATTATTGTGAGTTTTTGGCCGGTTATATGTGACAATAAATATAGCATTGCCATTAACAAGTAAAATAATGGTAATTTAGCTGAAAACACAATAGATAAAATGCAATGACGGAGGAAATTTATGGATATGATCAAATTAATTAACGGCTGCTATAAATTGTGCATAACCACAGGTCGCGATGGTAGCGATGAAATAAATTGTGACGGCAGACGTAGCGGTGACAAGATTGACGACGACACAAATAATGATGACGCAAGCACTGACGACAAAAACAGTGAAAATCACGACACATATTGTTCTGACAATGGTACTAGTTCTGACAATGGTACTACTACTAGTTCTGACAATGGTACTAGTAATGCCACTACGAAGAATTTTCTATCAGTACTTCTGATTGCTCTTAGTGTAACTATAGGGAACTCCAGATTTTGATTTCTTTAGACTTATTCAATGTTACGTTGTGTGATTACAATTTTTTAGCATAAATTTTTAAAGACAGTCATAAAAATAAATGTTATGACGAAAAGTAAATACACGATTTTGAATAAAAATAGGGACGAAACGGTGACAATAAAATTGACGCAAAAAGGGCGACGATTGCAACAAGAACATCACTTACAATCAAACTAAGAAGTAAAAGATAATCTGCACGTGCGTACATTCAGCCAATGAGAGAGACCAAAACATTAGATAAGTACAACAATCAAATGATGACTGGTGTTCACTGAACAATGTTCAGTACATGATACAAATATATACGATATATACACAATTCTACAATACATGAAGGAATGATATCACCAATTAGTCCATGTGTATTTTGAGCAAACTGCCAAACTTACCAAGCTGTGGTATCACGTGACTGTGTATTCAGCTCATCAGCCTGTTTCAGGCTTACACAACTCCAGGAAATTCTAATTGGAATCTTTTCTGCGAATACGAGAGCTTTTTTCATAATTGGCATCGATATGTTAATATTCTTGCCTATTTTGGTCAATTAAAGAATTAAACATGTGGTTAAAAGCATCGGTGTTCTGAAACTTGTTCTAATAAACATATATATGTGCCATTCGGCTCAGTATTTTTTTCCAAAATTAGCCACACCTACACATCGTTATAATGTCATTTTACAAGATGAGAAACACGTGTACGTGTTAATACTCGGTGGTGTGGAAAAATGACCAGACAAATGCTCGGAAATTAAGATCAGATCCATGAATATCTAAACGGTATTAGCTCCAAATAAAGCCGACTAATCAGTTGATCGATCACGATATTTGTTTGGACCTTTCGAAAATTAATAATATTGATCGTCTCCTGATCGTGCTGTGCTTATTTGAATCGTATAATCGTTTCTGTGGAATCGAAGGTGAACGATCAGATGAAACAAGCGGGCATAATGTTTTCTATAGCAACAAAATATATTGATATTAATAACGATTAAGAATATTTAGTGTGTGATGTGTTTTAATTTATTTCTGTTCGCAGCAAATAAAACATATGCAGCCAAGCCCCGGGAAGTCGTGCAGAATATACCCTGTTAATTAGGCCTAAGCCGTCCAAGGGGTCCATTATCTTTAATAAATGTAGTTTTATTACATTAATTGAGGATTATGGACTCCTTTAATAGCTTTAAGTCGAAGTTAACGAAGTAATTTCTCCACAACTTCCTGCGTTAATTACTAATCATAATTTACTAGTTGTAAACATAAATATATAATGTTTTGTAAAACATTGGAGAAAATATTCAGAAAATAGTTTAGTCTGAATAGACTTTCTAATAGAGACTAAAACATGGTGGGATAGCATCAAAGAACAATCCATCAATCTACAAAAGCACTATTGCAACAGGACAATGTGGTATGACTTCAGTGATATAGAAAGAGAGCGGCCTGAATTACTGAGTGTAGTGTAGGTTAGACAGCTGGTGTAGTGTAGTGTAGCTGAGTGTAGCTGAGTGTAGTGTAGTGTAGTGTAGTGTAGCTGAATTACTGAATGTAGTGTAGGTTAGACAGCTGGTGGGCAGTGTTAGACTGGATCAATTCTGATTGTTCAATATTAATATGGTTACGGTGCTGCATATCATGTTACATGTAAATGTAATTTTCAGGATATGACAGAATAAAATGCTAGAAATAAAGTGTTTCGCCACCAAATGAAGAGTTTGTGGCGTAAATAGTTTTCAGTGTACGATGGAGATTTTATTTTTCAATGCTAGCATTGACCAATTTACTAAAAACATTGAGTTTGTTTTAAGCGTCACTTTAGATCTAGCAGCACAGTCGTGAAATCTACAAGATGATGTTTTGGCTGTTATAAAGTTATAAAACCAGGTGTAATACTGAAATATAAAACATAGTATAATGTCGAATGATTAATAAATAATCTGTCAAAATCAAATGGGACATCTGGTGCCGCCCTGTGCGAGATTGTTACAATTAACCATGTACCCTGGTGACTGGTGACTGGTAAAATTGGTTTCTCCACGCATATTTGAACATGTGAGCTCCACGGATCACGATCTTATTTAACCTATAACAGAGAATGTTACATTTAAAACCTATCAAACTTATAAAACATAGCAAATCTCACGAAGAACAAAGATATAAATGGCTCAATTCTGTAGCTTAAGTTAATCACCTTCGAGACAAGAGTTTATCTAGTAACTACACAGGCTATTTTCCTGTCTCAACTGTAAAGCGATGTTAACCAAGTTCAGTAAGTTCATATGATCTTTAACAACGACCAAATAGATACCACCAAGAACTGGCATTGGCTCGTACAAGATACAGAACAATGCTTACCTGACTCCAAACAGAAACTACGATGAGCTGCAGTAACTAAACAATATTTACAAACTAAAAGTTACAAACTCAGGTTACAAATAGTAGCACTCATTACGGGGAATCACAGACCGAGGATATTATATACGTCATACTAAAGTTATGACTTATCAATGGCAAGCCTGAGAGTATAAGCAACTACTGAAATTGTGGTCCTTATCGACAGCTTTGTGATACGCTCATATTGTACAATATTTATACTTACAAGAATGCTAGTGACAGAGCAAAACATCACCATGGATTCTGTTTAGTGAGCTATCAAGGAAATTAATATGCGTGCTATGAGAATTTTATAAGAGAATTTCCCCGTTATGTCAAAATTTGACAGAAGGAGGGAAGTTTCAAATTCAAAGCGACTGATCGTAATTCGAGAAGTCAACTACTCATTAATCTCACAATTGGAGCCCATCCAAATTGTGCAAATCTTGATTAAAAACGTCAAGGACAAGCAGGGAGAGGTTAAAAGTTAACCATTTCCTCGATTTTCTGATTGGACTTAGAGGATGACACTTAACAATGTTCCTGTCTAATAATCATTTGAGAGGAAGTAATATCGGAGCGTAGTAGCAAAGCAGCAATGAAAGAGTCGACGCTGTGATATGCTGGCTGGAGGACGCTGTGATATGCTGCAGGCTGGAGGACGCTGTGATATGCTGGCTGGAGGACGCTGTGATATGCAGGCTGGAGGACGCTGTGATATGCTGCAGGCTGGAGGACGCTGTGATATGCTGCAGGCTGGAGGACGCTGTGATATGCTGCAGGCTGGAGGACGCTGTGATATGCTGGCTGGAGGACGCTGTGATATGCTGCTGGCTGGAGGACGCTGTGATATGCAGGCTGGAGGACGCTGTGATATGCAGGCTGGAGGACGCTGTGATATGCTGCAGGCTGGAGGACGCTGTGATATGCAGGCTGGAGGACGCTGTGATATGCTGGCTGGAGGACGCTGTGATATGCAGGCTGGAGGACGCTGTGATATGCTGCAGGCTGGAGGACGCTGTGATATGCTGCAGGCTGGAGGACGCTGTGATATATGCTGGCTGGATGATGCAAATGGATTATAAGCCTTATAATCACGTTAGAGATTCTTCCCTACCAATATATCGCACTTAGTGAACACCATATCACCATGGTGACAAATGGACAGTAAATTATTGTGTGTTGGTGGTCAATATGATAATCATATATTATGATAATGCCGACCACGGCCCACAATCCAACTAATATTGACGATGCGATGATTTGCTGTCATTATCCAAGCCTGCCATGCTTTATGATCTTAACAAGACCATGAGTCACAAGATATGTAATCACTTTGAGTCCCAAAAATTCATTTCACGACCTTTGTCCCAAGGACGCTAAATTTAAAATGTAACATTAGCCCTCTCTATCATAAACCGATATCCCAGAAAATGACTTATGATTGCCAGAGGTACAACCATGAGTAAATTGTTCGAGTCCCTCCCCTCCTTCACCATCACACTCCGCATCAAAGCAAACTGTCCGAACGTATCCCACACTATTCTACTCAAGACAAAAGTTCGAGTGTATCCTACACTTCACAACTCTATAGCCAATTCTTGGGGCTTGTGTCCTACTCTTCTCTACCCAAGCCGGCTCAGTGTATCCTACACTTCTCTCTTCATTATCAACTGTTCGCGTGTATCCTACACTTCTCTCTTTATTATCAACCGTTCGCGTGTATCCTACACTTCCCAACCCTATAGCCAAGTGTCCGATGGTAGATCCTACAATCCAAAATCTAGCCGACTGTTTGAACTTTGAACTTTGAACTCTCGTTCTTGATAGAATTTGTTAAATAGGGGTCGTTCACATATTACGTAATCATCCGAGGGGGGAGGGGGTTTCCAATTGATTACGGGGGATTACGGGGGGGGGGGGGTTATTTTATTTTTTATCCTCTAAAATAATACAAACTTGACAGTATTTTAATTCAAATTCCACTCAATTTCACTCTGATAGTGATAGTGATAAAATCTAGAAATTGATCGGATATCCGACTATAGTAAATAGTTTAGAAGGTCCTGACAAATATTTTCGGCTAATAATGATCAGGGTGACATGAACTGTGGAGAAAAGTAGTTTCCAGGAAATTTAAAAACATTTTTGACTTGAAAAACTTTTAAAATTGGAAAACTTTAAAAATGTTCGGCCCGAGTCATTCTGCATTCTCGATACGTACATTGAATGGCAGTCTCCCCGCTTCCGAACTCTTAGTGCATAGAGGAGGCCTGCCCTCCGAGATAGCATTACAAAGGGGGAACCTCGTCTCCAAGATCGTATATCGATGGTGAGGTGGGGACTTCGAAATCGGGATAGTCAAAACATGAAAACTTATGAATTTCGGAAACTTTATTTAGTCAAAATTGTTTTTCAGGTATTCGAAATAATATCTAGATTCTAGATGAACATTGAATATTTGATTTAAATTATTTCGTTCTTTACTAGGTCGAAATTTTGTAAAAAATTGGGTTTATAAATTTTAAAATGGCATTAAATTCTCCGTATTATGCCATTGGCCCCCCCGCCCCCCCCCCCCCCGTCCCCCCGCCCCACTCCCCCAATTAAATCCGGCTGCTAAAGTAAGTAGTTGAAAGGTGCTCGGCCGGATATCGTGACAATGATTTCGGCTCATCATGATCAGGATAGCATGAAACGTAAAGATTTCCAGAAAAAAAGTCAACGGGGGGGGGGGGGGGGGGGGAGGGGGTCAGGCCATGATTACGTAATATTGCTGTCAGGAGGGGGGGGGGGGGGGGGGGGGTTTGGGTCTTGATTACGGTTGATTACGGAGGGGGGAGTTGGCTAAAATATTGATTACGTAATATGTGATCGACCCCAAATAACATTAACGCCTGTGTCGTTCGCAGTTTTACGGCATTTTTTAATTTTACACTACGATAGAGTGTAACCTCGATGAGGTAGAGAAGGAATTTGTGCAAAGATCATAACACAGCTCTCATTTTTCTAGAAATAGCTACCAAGTTAGATTAGCCGGACCAGCCCACGTGTCATTAATATCAGCCCACGTGACTTACTATCAGCCCACGTGATCATCTCTCAACGAGCACGTGACCTGAAATCTGAAGTTGAGAAGCTGTGGCACGGTCAGAGTTAATACTCCAGCACGCGCCCGGGGCCTCCTCCTACTCCTCCTCCTACTCATGTTACAAAACTAGGATCAGCTCCTCTACTTTCACATTTTCAAGAGAAGAGGGGGCTGCAGTAAATATTGCCTCCAAATTAGACTATGTTAATTGCATCAATTCTCGGTAACTGTATTTAAGTGAAACGAGTTGTTAAAATGTAGCAAATACAAATATCAAACAAATACAAAATACATCAATGATATGATAATCGAAAATTCTATGTCAGCAATATAAATAAGTATTTTTGCTTGACAAATCACATGCTTCTCGATCAAATGTTTATTTACAAAATTTCCAGTCGCAACTATTCTGGTTAGTGGCTACCTCAAAACTAACAAGACTTTAATAAAGTGAGTTCATTCAAAGTTATTTCTTAGCCCAATATAATCATACTGAAACAAAAAGAAGTCCATATAAGATTTCTAGAAGTTCAAAGAAGTTGTTCAAACTTGGAGGATGGAGGAGCTGTCAAGGACTGGAGGGGTTGGAGTGGGAGAGATTTGGGTCCTGCCGTCACTTGTGTGCCGGTCGTCGGACAAGCTGGGTAATAATCGTTTTAGTTTGTTATAGATTTATTTTAGACAAAAATAACTTTAAAATGTTTGGGTTTGTTATGAAGGAGAAAAAATATCAAATGTTTGCAAATGCTTTCAAATTACAGTATAAACATGTTCTATTGACTGCACTTAATTTGGTAAATTTCGCGAGGCCGAGGCCGGAGATATTTCAAAACTGACTTGAAGACTTACTTTTGTTATTGTAGGTAACTTCGTAGTACTTGACAAATGTGCACTTCTGAGTTATTTCCGTGTTCGGACCGGCCGTGTTGTAGTTGAATGACATTCCACCGACCTCTGAGAAAGGCTGAAAAACGGCACGTTAAATAGGTTAATTAAGTTAATTAGGATAATTGGGTCAATAAACAAGTTAAGTAGCAAATTCATCACCGGCCGTGGTGCTGTAGTCATTTCCGTTCTTAATTAACCTTCAGTAGCAGTTACTCAGTGAACAGGTGAATAGCTACCATTATAGCATATCTCAATCTAATGAACTTAATTAGGGCAACTAAATTAGTTATAAATAATGTTGTTCCCATGTGATAATCGAGATGAATTCTCAGCGGGCTAGACGACTGAGAATTTCACGTCCAGGAATTATAATTCATGACAATGTTAAAATTTTATTAATTTCACCTGTACCAACAGTGCGCACTCTCAAAGTTAGATTTCACTTTGTATTCTCACCTTAATAATAGGTTTTTCAGGCTGCTGATGATGAGCTGACAGTTTCTCGGGAGAGAAGTGGTTCTTGACAAAACTGTAGTCTGGTCCAGTGTCCGGGTAGTAGGACTTGGTGAGAATGGGGCTGCGATCCTCCGTGGGAGTCAGAGTGGGTACCCAGGCTGAGCGGGCTGAGGCTGAGGTGGTGGAGCCGCCGAGCTGGGGTAGAGTCAGGTTAGTTTGAGGGGGGGGGGGGGGGTTAGGGTCGGGTTAGTTTGGTTATTTCTAAACTTATCAAATATAAACTACAAGAAACACGATGTAATACTAATCCTAATGTTTGCAGAATATGTGGACAGGAAATGATTTAAATTAGTTGTTACCTGTAGAGGGCTGGTCTGGGGATATGAGTGTTGACTGTTGGTATACGGGTAGGACATGAAGTCAGTAGTAGGGTATATCGGGGTGGGGGTGGCCGGCATGATGGGGTAGACAGAGGGCGGGTAGCTGTTACTTAAGGCCGAGACATTCTGGGTGTAGGGTTGTAACATCTCCATAGTACCCGGGCTTACTGAGCCGTACTGAAATATGGTTGGTGTAAAATAATGCTGAAATGTTAGAGCTAATGTTCAACATCCGAATGTTGATAGGTTGAGGAATAGGGCTGTTTTAATTAATATTTTCAATTTATTGTAACTAACCTGTGGATGTGGTATAAACATGTCGTCTTCAGTGTATCTCTGTAGAGAGTTTGCAGTCTTCAGTTTGCCCATATCTGAAATTAGAAAGTTTCAATAAACTAATAAACATTGATATGCATTTTGTATACCACCTCAGAAAATACATTAGAAATTGTTATTGCTGAAGTGCTTGATTGTGATCATTTTTGTGAAAGAGCGTCAGATTAATGCAATAATGTAGAGACACGATCTTCGAACAAGAGATACTAAAAGTAATAGCAGTCTTATTTATTCCAAACCTTTCTCATCGCTGGTGTCAATGCCCATCTCCTTGACCAGGTAGAACAAGTAGTCCCTGTGCGCTTGGAACAGAGACTTGAGACCCTCCAGCATGTCTCTATCCAGATTGAGACTCAAGTTGTCCTGGAAACCCTCCACCGGACTCTTCTGTTTATTTGCTCCAAACATCCTCTCCAGCTCTTTCCACGCGTTCTTAGCTCGTTCCAGTATTGTTGTTTTACTCAAGTTCTTATCGCTTGAACATCTGATAAATTGTGTTGATAATAATCAAATTGGTTGGTAACTTATTTTCATTTCCCCCAGTTTTTCAATATAATTAACTTTAATGTAAAACCATCAATCAGAAAATAAAATAAACCTCAACAGAAAACTGAACATTACCACACCGATAACACACCTGTAAGGTCCTCTAGGTTTCACCGCACCGTGAACAAAATTCCTTTCAGTTGTACTGAGTGTCTTCAACAGAGCTCTTATCACCTCAGTCCTCTCTGGACTGTCTTTTTCCCAAGTAGTAAGGTACTTGGGGAGAAGGTTCTTTCTCTCTTCGTTATCCAGTCTCTCCCAAAGCTAGGGTTATATTGGTCAGAAGGGTTTTGAAGTAGTGTAATATACGTAAGATGTGTTCCAACAACTTTTTAGACTGAAAACAAAGTTTAATCAGCCTATGTACAAAAATGCAAACAAGGGGAAGGCCAAATGTGTGAGTTTCAGAGGATCTTACCATAGATATCTCTTGGCTCTTATTAATAGGAAGATTGCTCCCGGTTGAAGAGCTCACTTCTCCGCAGCTGTCCTCCTCACTCTTTGTTCCCATTCCTTGTTGGTTCATAGACCCCTCCTTGTTTCTAAGCCTTGCGTTTCGGAACCAGTTCCTCACCTCCAAAAACTTTAGTCCTGTAGCTGCTGCTAGCTGAGCCACGTTTTCCCTGGAGACAATATTCAATCACTATATTATAAGCAGAAGAATGGGGCTAAAAAGGACAATTTCTAAAGTTTATATTGTAAACGTAAGATTACAGTATAAAACATTTTAGTATCAAACTTATCATAACAAGTAGTTGTTGGGAAGTCTTGCAGCATTAAATTATCTAGAGCCAATAGTAATAACGAAAATTAAAAATATTGCCTCAAGTTAAACACAGCAGTTTTAAATGGTTTAGATTTTGATGTTTAATGCAGCAAGAATAAGATATAGCATTGTCAATAAGAATAGAACACATAATTGTTAAATTACCTTCCAGGCTTTGAGTTAGCCTTGAAATAATTCTTCAAGACCTCGATTTGATTCTCTGATTTTCTAAGCTTTTTTACTTGAGTTGGTTTCTTATGGCCGGTGTTAGCCCTGGATCTGGTAGCTGGACGGTTGTTACGGTATGACCCCGTGCCCCCTTTCTTGTATTCAAGAGTGTGGACAGCGCTGGGGATAGGAGTCCAGACCTTGTTCTGCTGGGCTCTAAGTTCCTCTAAGGTATTAGGGACAGGAATATAGGGGTTCGGAACCTCCTGCTGCAGGGAGAAATTGAAAATCATTTGCTAGCTTGAGGAGAGGGGTACACAGAGAACGTAACGTTACAAGTAAGAATTCGCTACTAAAAGTAAGACCGGTACAAAAACGAGTAAATGTGATGGTAATTCTGGTACCTGAGTAGGGTAGGCAAGGGGCCAGTGATCGAAGGAACTTTGATTTAAAGTAGAGGCAATATACGAATCACATGAAGAATTATACATGATATAAAAAACTAAACAAACAGTTTTACTCAGAAAAGCGTAGCTGAGGAGGAAGAGAGTTGAGTAGATTGAGTGAGTAGTTGGGGCTCTGCTATATAGCTGGAGAGGATGATGCGATATGTCTGGTCACGTGACCACGTGATCTGAATAGGAACACCCGACACACATTGCTACAGTCCTTGTCAGGGGCCGGGTGTTGGGTGTCCATAGACGGGTTTTAGGGGTTAGTCCACCATTGGGGCAGACGTATCTGGGCCATCTACACGACTCGTAAACCCTTTCTGTCCACTGTGGGTGATGGAATGGTAGAGATGGTGTCTACAGTCTAGTAGATTGTCTGAACAGCCTCATGAGTCCAACCTGCTTTCTGTTGAAATGATCGAGGTGTTGTCTAGATGTTGGTTACCGTGCGTCCTTCACATATTTTTACCTACTTTTTGTTGGATTCATGGTGAAACTGGTCCCATCCTTAAATGGCCCCCAACAACGGTAAATATGAGAATATGGTGTTTTAGCAAAATAAGATTAAGAAGCTATTGTGTATATAAAAAACTTGAGTAAACGCTGCCCTTTAAATTGTCAATTTGACAGTCAATATTTCCTCAAAGAAACTAAAGGATAAAGCTGCGAACCTAAAAACATGGGATACAACAAAAAGGTAGGATGTGATAGTGAAGGAAGTATAAAGGATATGATATAATAGTAAATCATTATCAATAGTACTATAGTAAATCTTGAAATGTAAATCATCATAAATAAATTGTAAAAAATGCACCATGAAAAAAATGCACAATGGACCAACAAAATTACAGTCGTTTAAACATTTTTTTTCTTAGGTTCCTATTATCTGGGCGCTGGATGGTCGGCGAATAACTTCAATTCCGTTTCACATCAAAATTCTTATACATTTATCATTAACCGGTAAAATAAATTTATAATATGAGAAAAAATCCCCCGATTGTTCTTATAAAGTTATAAGGGGTCGTTCACATATATTACGTAATCAGCGGGGGAGGGGGTTTCCAAATGATTACGTTTGTGTAATTTTGATACAATAGCTATGTATAAAACTGATTACGGAGGGGGGGGGGGGGGGGGGGGGGTGGGGGTAGAAATTGTTTAAAGAGTGATTAGTATTACGTATTATGTGAACGACCCCTAAACTTGAAACCTGTATTTGAGTCGCAGCGGACGTTGCTACACGTTGCATACCTCTCTCGTGCCGGCCGCCGCGAAAAGAGGTTGCAGCGTGTGTCAAAGCGGACGTCCAAGGGACACGAGCACAATGAATTTCAACTGACCTATATAAATCGTTTTATTTTCGCCCAATGATATTTTAGTACCACGAAATATCTATCAATAAGCGCAACGTAATTTTTGCTAATTAATGTGTAAGAATGAGATCCAAGGACCGTTCGATCAAAGTAGTTTTAACATTTAACACGTGACAGTGGTTCTGAGTTTTAATTGGGCCATGCTGGAAACGTATATTGGTTAATCACTGGCACGTGCCAAAATAAATATGGTTCACCTCCCCACCAGTATCCTAATCCAGATCTATAGAATTAGTGTTGGATACGAAATTGAAAACATCTCGATTGTACTCAAACACCATGTTTAACTAATATCACGCTCGCTCATATATAACGCGGACAATATTTAGAAGGTACATCGAAAACGCTTTGAAATTGTCTTGCTAATCCGTGTCATATCAAGTCAAACATAACAAATAGTCGAACTCTTATAAAATTTGAATTTAACATTTAAGTAATAGTATAACACAAATATCAAAACTGAAGAAATAATCTCAGATCATATAACATCAAAAGTTGGCTCACAAAATCCCTGGGGCTAAAATCAATCCAAAAAAATCAATCAATCCAAAAAACAGACTGTCAAAGTCATGTGAAAATTTTAACCATTAATTAAACATATCATGATTGTAGACTGATATACATATTTGGTAAAGGATTGGAAAAATTATTATTACAATATAGACTTCAATAAGGAGGAGGACATAAAATAAGAACCTAAAAAGGAATCAGTAATATCAGAATAGTCTTTTGTTGAACTTGAACCCTCAATCCTCATGATTAATCAGTGTTCAAAACCTGCAGATGATTGCAAAGCACTATCGCCCTTTAGTTTCGTTTATGAGCCAGTCACCGATCTGAGGACTCTATCTATAATAATCCGTTTCCAGCAGTATCCTTGAAGCTACTTAATTAAAGACTGTAAACATGTCTCATTTAGGGACACGTCTCATTTAGAGACACGTCTCATTTAGAGACACTTCTCATTTAGAGACACTTCTCATTTGAGGATTACATGAGCGTGTTCTTCGCGAGACCCTCCGATACTGTTCACAAAGCAGGTGTATCTTCCAACTCTATCTTCTGTCATGACATCTATCTTTAGACTCGCTCTACTTAAACCTGGAACACCGGGGGTATTACTGTTTATTCAAGTTAAAATGAGATATTAATCTGTGTTCCATTTAAAAGTTATGGTACAAATTATTTTTACTTTTTAAGGGATGAATACTGAATTGTTGAGAACGAGTTTGTCTAAAGAGCTAAACTGAACCTTAAGCTTAAATATATGTGATAAAATTGTGATATTTATTCGCCCGATATCGCCCTTATCTAATTCTATGGTTGTAAATTCCCCTTCTCCACTTTCACAGAAATATTTGGAAGTGCAACTCTTGTCAACTTTCAATTATCTTAATAGTCGATCGTCTTTCATCGTTATAAATTTTGGGCAATTTTCAGACTCGAAGTATTCATAGAGCGTCGATAAAGATGAAGAAGTTGAGTATCCCTTTAAAATACCAATTACCCAAGACAGTTGGTGAACCGTGACGGTATATGGTTTTGTCCAGACAAATTGAAAATTAACCGACAATCTGAGACTGCCAGGTTTTCATATCTAATTTTCGCACCTAATTCTCTTATCTGGAATATTTTATCAAAAGAGATAACTAACGATACAACCAATAACGATGAGCTACTAAAACCTAAATTCATACGAAATGAAGGATATAACTCACAATATAAAGTATATTTATAATTGATAACTCCCAGACACCCCTGCCCCTCTAATAAACACCCTTAATATCTCTCACCAGGTTTCACGTCCTGGACAGGGTCCAGATGAACGTGAACGAAGTCTTCAGGTCTGTTGCGGAGGAGTTGTATCTGGGGTGCAGGGTCGCCCCACGCAGTGCAATCCAGTGTGAAGGAACCTCCCAGAGGTACTGTTACGTTACCGGGCTTCTTTACAATCACTGGGGGATCTGGGAGGGAGGAGGTGCAATATTACTGGGGGATCTGGGAGGGAGGAGGTGCAATATTACTGGGGGATCTGGGAGGGAGGAGGTGCAATATTACTGGGGGATCTGGGAGGGAGGAGGTGCAATATTACTGGGGGATCTGGGAGGGAGGAGGTGCAATATTACTGGGGGATCTGGGAGGGAGGAGGTGCAATATTACTGGGGGATCTGGGAGGGAGGAGGTGCAATATTACTGGGGGATCTGGGAGGGAGGAGGTGCAATATTACTGGGGGATCTGGGAGGGAGGAGGTGCAATATTAAGACGCAATGAAACTATATGTATCTTATTTGGGGTGTGGGTATCAATTTATCAGTAAAAGCTGTAATCTGTATAAAATACTAAATTCTGCAAAAATAACTCGATCACCTGGGTTTCTAGTCTTCTCCACAATCTTCAAATAATCACTCCTGTCTTGACACACAGGGCAACACACGTCAGGTTGGAACACAAAGTACTCGCAGGAGGGAGGCGGACAAACCTCCCTGGTGCACACGTCCTTGTTGGTGTCCAGACACTTGCAGTGGGTACAGGGTCCCTGTCTCCACTCCTGTCCTACCGAGTAGGCTGATGTTCCGAATACAGGACACGCTGGGGGAGGTGGTGTTAGCACTGTTGACTGTTAAGTGTGGAGGGGTATTTATAGATCAAGTTGAGTATATTATGATGAATTGTTGTGATGATCACCATCGATTCCGTTGATTGCCCTCAGGAGGCACAACACTCTTTAATCTTATTGAGCTGCAGGGGTTTAACAGCAGACATTTCTAAACAAAACTTTGTCCCCGAACGACTAGTATTCTGTAATGAAAGTTTTTCAAATGAAATAAAATAAACAGCTCACCTCTTCTTCTAGCATCCACAACTCCGACAGAAGATACATCTTCATCGTTCTTTGTCACAGTATATCCAATATCCTTGTTGTAGCTGATCGGTTTGATTGGACGAGGTCGCGCATTTCGTTGAGTTGGTGTTATAAACGTTCCTGGGAATTGTGATTAATATTTTTTATACTTTTCTTCCATATCAATTAGTAGAAAATGTGTACCACTTATTTCCAAATACAAGTTACCGGTTCTACATTTCACAATATCGATGGGTATGACTCAAAATCCAGATCTTATTTTAATTGAGGTTATTGGTACAGTGCGGAAAGCAGGTTCCCAAGTCCCAGTTCTTACCAACATCGAGCAGGAGAAGATCCTGATAATCTCCAAGTTTCCACTCTTGGGTTATCTCACTAAAATACGGCTCCTGGTTACAGAGATCCTGGGAAGTACTGGCCACAAACCAGTCAGGCGTTTTATCCACCCTGCCCACGACAGTCAGAAAACGTCTTGCAAAAGTCACCGTCACGTTAGTTGTAAAGACTGGAGTGGTTTCAGAACTACTTGAGTCACGCATACCCTGAAGACAACGTGAGTTACACGCGGTGGCTTCACAGGTTCCGAGACATAACGTTGCCAATCCAAGTTATATATCACGTCAACACAGTAATATTTTTCATGAAAATGTTCTTGTGCTCACGTTTTTGGGTACCCAGCCAACTTTTTCTGGCATCAGAATTTGGATTTTTAAAACTTTTCAATGGTGGAAGATTATTTCTGACATTTATAGATTTCGTCTTAACCGTACTTCGTCTACTTTTTGATGCTAAGTCGCAAAACGACCGCTTTATTTATCGAAATTATTATTATTATTGTAGTCTACTGTAAGCTCTGAACTTATTATATATTGGCAACAAAAATTGTGGAAGTAAGACGAGCCCTAATTCGAAGTATCAAATGAGGGGTGATTCCACCGTTGTCGCGAGCGATGCAGGATTGATAAGGATAATTCAATGCAGTTTTTAACAATGCATTAATTTTCTCAACCTTCAGGATGTAACCGTCAGTGCCAACAGTATTCCTGAGCTGCTCCAAACTCCCGGTCTCAACAAACTCCGCTAGTCCTGCACTGGATTTCCTTCCTGATCTGTACACACGAAACCTGGCCAACAGAGATAATGGATAATGTTTTACACTTCAAGTCGTAAAATAAATCATATCAGATAATTTGATAAATCATAAATAAATAAAATTCAGATACTTAAAATCCACTTAACAACTTCTTTTTATGTTCTCTCGTAACAAAAGCACCGCGCGTTAATCAATGAGATTTCTCACGCGACTCCAATATAACTGTTTACAGGTGCGGTGGCCTTGAGAAACAAGCCTAAAACATTACCTGTCGTTGTGTATAATGAAAGCAACGTCAGTGACAGTGAGATGGAACTTTGGGAGTACAGTTGGTAACTTGTTCCAGGGGAAGCTGGTGGAGACTGAATACTCTGTTTCCGCTGAGCATCCCTTCTCGTGGTAATCTTCAACATACCCCCACACTCCACTCTAACGTAAGATAATGACCAATTACTAAATTATATAATAATTAAATTGCTTACTTTAAAAAGTATAATTTAATATCAATTGCTGAGTTTTAAGATTATCTGTGGTTAACTTCAGTATTTTGTTTTTGTCGGCACCTGAGATCAGGAATCAGGCGCCAATCACCTTCAAGATTCTACGAAATCTTACTCCGGTAGAATTGCACTCTTATCGTTTTTTCTTTTTACTTTCTACGAGCTTCTAATTCAAATTAACGAGTCTTAGCCTAATTAAGCGCTGAGTCATGGGTGCAACAGTCTACCTAGTACGTTGTGATTTGTTTTACAGTTTTACATACGGTTGAATTTTATTTAGGACTCTATACCAAGGAACCTTAAAACCAGACTGCTACCTTTTATAAGTTCTCTCATCAGCAATTAAAATTAAGATATAAAACTTGTAGGATCTTATTCTGAAGTAATATATGAACAAGCTGTCTAACCTGTAAGAGAGTTGATCCAAATAAAAAGCAGCAATTCAAGAGAAACATGACAAGTTTTATTAGCAAAAGTAAAACAACTCTGCAATTCACCAAATTCCGCTCTATCCACGAATTAGTGAGAACAATTACACACGCCTGTGTCTGCAAACAGCACCAATTGGATTAACATACAACACACAACCATGCACATGCCCATTAATTTCAATTTTCATTGCTCGACCATGAATTACTGCTCCGTCCATTTTGCAGCGTTTATAACCACACTCCGGCAAAATTGTTCATCTTTGGCAGTTCTCTGGAAGACTGTAAATTGGAATTTATAAGGTGATAATAAGAATCTAATGTTTATGAATTTGGCCGTAAATTCCTCAGAAGCAACAGCAAGGCACGGTTTAGTTGATGTCATTATTAAATTGCTCATCTCAACTTGAAATTGACGGCGTGAAGCCTGCCATAAGTTAAAGATATTGCTATATAAGCACATACACTTTGCAGGGATGGGTATACAGAGCACTTAGCATGTATGTCAGTATTAAGATGTCACGTACTGGTCACTGTGTCGGAGGTAAATTGCTCAATACAATGGTTATAAAGTAAGTGTTATCAATTAGCATATAAGTATTATTATATTAAATCTTGTGATTTCTGACTATAAATTAAAAAAATTTAATTTAAATTGATAAAAATTTAATTAAACTTTACTTCAAGAAACTTTAACGAAGACTCTCAATTGGGTTATTGGCGATCTTTAATCTTTTAATTAATGCAGTCATTATTGTTGACTTTGGAACTTATGTCCATTGTGCAACCCAATCAGTTATGTTTTAGTACTATATTCAACAAGAGTATAACATTACTAAAGTCGGCTTTTAGTATCATAACATAATTAATGTCAAGAGCTTTATAACTTTATAAATATGCATTTTTCGCTAATTCGGGAGACAAAGTTGGAGGTCACAAAGCCAAAATTACCGGCATAATTATCATATAATCGCTCAGTACTACGTTCTCATTCTTTAATGAATTATCACTGACAATAGACTGATAATTATATCTTTGTAAAAGGATGAGCCCTGTATAAGCACAAACCCGAAAATTTTATTTAGGGTTAGGATTTAGGTCTTGTTCAATGGTCTAGGCTAGACGTACTATAACGTTATGTGTCGGGTTTATTTGGAAAAAGTTAAATATAGGTGTGGGATTACATATTAGGTTTAGAATAGGTGATGCAAACGTCGTAAAACGAAAGCAGTTATAAAAAGTTGTTCATTCACCGATAAATTTAAAATTGTGAACTTATAAACTTGTTACATGACCTGAATCAAGACATTAAATCATAATAATATGTACTAAAAATACAGAAACATTAAACACCGAATCACTGATTCGTCGTGAGCCCTTGAAGTGTTGCAAAACGATGTGAACTTTTGTGGAACATGGAACATCCTGCTCAGTATACAGACTGCCCAGATCAAGAGTTGTGGAGGTATTAAAGCATGTCATGAGCTGCTCTGTTCATTTATTCTGTAGAACCAGAAAAATCGCGACCAAAGTTATGTTGCACCTCACGCTCTTCTGTGTTTAAAACTCAATGTTAACTCGGGAAAATTGGGCTCAGATTTACGGAGTGCTGTTCCAGGGGTGAACAGGATGTACTGTGCTAGTTAAGTTTTAACGCTAGTTAGCGCTGTCATGGTGATAAAACGTTAAGGAGCAGCTCTGCCCCAGAAGTAGCTGAGAAGTTGCCCACTTAGTGGAACCCATGATTTGGGTTCTCCCTGACAAACACACACACCCTTCGTATAATTATTTAGGTGACAGGTATATTCAGAATATGTAAATATATTAGGGACACGTAACAAATTCAATTTAGATAACAAAATCACTGGTGTCTGTCTTGCAAATATTTTTACTTTTCTCAACAAATTTTCTGTTCGAATGCGCTCCTCTCTGCCTGATTCGTAACTCACTTTTTATTGCTTTACGAGAAAGCTTATCATTACTTGATTCGATCCAACCCCTTCGAAGAGTTCCTGAGGTGAAATCATCGGGGTTTTCTGTTCGGCACATTTCATAACACATACAGGTATTTCGTTGTAAAACTGTGGTGGTTTAAATTTTCTAAGGAATGTCTATATGCTATGCCTACATTTCCATCGCTCAACTTCTGAACACGTATATGGACGACGCACACATTCAAGATTCTAGTAAAATTATTGCTAAGGTCTTTCTTTATGATGTTTTCCTTGTAACTATTCATTTTTTGGCTTGTTATTTCAATTTTCTCCTGCCCAGTTTCATTTGAATATGGAGATCGCTGATCTCCGGTTCCGATTAAGAATGGTAAAAATAAACGCGTCTGGGTTCTGCAAAAAATTCTGCATTATCCGGGGTGTGGTCTCAAATGAACAAAGGGTTTCATTTTCATGGGTTTTAACATTCATTGGGGACAAAATTGAGCATGAATCATGTAAATGAGGTCTTTTAGCGTCGACATCAGTAAGAAAAACATTCCATCCTGCGAACCCCAAATAAATGAGCCCAAATGTAATGAGCCCTTTTCAAAGTTTGCTTATAAACGTTCGGTAGGGAGAATCGAGCTAAAGAATAATTTTTCCGGTCGTAATTCATGTTGACGACTGAAAAGCCATGCGGTTGGTTTTATCTGCCCACCTTTATTAATAATCAAGTATCTTCAATTATCCTTGATGTGCCGAATTTCCTCTTAGCAGGAGTCGCCACCCCTCTATCTAAAGCTTAATCATTCTAGAGGGAGAGCCGAGAGAAAGAGAAAACTTGAAGAAAGCAATCGCCTGATTGTAGCTGGAGAGTTAGTTCATGTTAACGACTGCAGTTTACCTGCCTAGTGCCTAACCTTATTATGATTCCTTATCTTTAAGTATCCTCAACTATCAAATTCTCTCTCGGCAGGAATCAGCATTCTTCGTCACTTTAATCACATATTTCTCACAAGTTTAATTATCTTCTTTGTTTTTCGATGCCCGTTTTAAAAAAACCTCTGCATCGTTTGACATAAACTTTCGTGTTGATTTCAGCCGCAATTTGAAGCGGAAACTAGGGGGAAATCTTGTGAACTCAGTTACTCGAAGGAAGTGTCCCATCCTGCATACCTTGTGCTTCAAAATTTCCCCATAGAAACACATATTTTAGACTTATTTCATGCCTATTTCAGATAAGCAAAGTGACAGGTTAAATTTATTTCTCATTTTTGGATAGATTTGCCAAAAAACCTTGTGATGATTTGGATTTGTTTTAGGAATATAAGATTTGCGGTCTAACCCCCAGTCTCTTTCCCGACAGCTACTCAGCTTTATATTCAAGTCACTATTGTGACGGTACATTAGAACCAGACAGAAACAAAGTGTGAAGGGCCTGAACGAAACCCCTCGGTTTTAGTTCCTTGTTTAACACTATTTCTCTTTTCCGTGGTATTTACTATTTAGTCCTATAGCCAGTCCTGCAAAACAAAGCTAAAGGTCTGATTACAGTGTCCATGTCATAATTGATTTGTTTTGCTGCAAAAACAACACGAGTTGTGTTTGGATCGTAGTATTTCGTGCCTGTCCCGGAAGGGAACCCACCACTTACAATCACCAGCCATGCAATAGAAAATTAAGGGTCCTACAATTGAAAATATAATTATAGAGTACCTTAATAGATTAATTGATACTTCCCAATCTGATTTAAAGTTACCGGCAGCATTTGGTCATGTTGTTGTTTGTTCCCGATCAGATTTATATTTATTAATTTTTTATTGGGGAGGTCTTTAGTTTTTCCTATTATAGTACTACCAAGTACTTGGAGTTGTTGCCGACTTTTTCTGTTATCTCATTCTATAAGGTGCAATAATTATATTTGTATGCTCGATTCAGTGAGCGACATTTGGTTATTCGTCAAGTTGACCGAGCTATTGTCATCTAGATAACGAGAGATGGTAGATATCCGTCCACTACACGAGATTGTGGTTTCAGTGACACCTACACGACGTAGTCTCAACCACAAGTTGACATTATATCCACAATATACCCACAATAGATCCACTGAAATTAACAGAAAGGAGTCCCTTCCCTACTAAATGTCGTCCTGGAAAAACTCCAATGATATCATACCTTAATGAATCGCCAATATAAGTAAGCAGTCTCATCTCTCGTTGGCTGTTCGTTAACGTTTGAATAAGGACGTAGGTGACTTTGCTTTGTAACCGTTTATAGTTTATAATTATATCTTGTAAGCATCATCTGCATCACACTCTGTTTTGGTTTAAGTTTAATATGGTTTACGCGAATGCGGTTAAGCGATGGGAATCTACCGGGTGGCGTCAGGCCGTCAGTCTCGCCCTTCTTCAAATTGTTGATCGTTTGATATGTCAAACCTCAGGTTTATTATTATATGCGGCTGTTTACCAAACTGTGCCAAAATCCACGTTGAAGACGTAATTCTTGATTTGTGGGCTACGTATTTACCCATTTAAAACGCAAATACCCATTTAAAACGCAAATACACATTTAAAACTTGCTGCTTTGGAGTTAAACGGTTATTACCGCGTTCTGTAGAACGGCTAAAGATAATGTAATCCTACTTGATCCTACTACAGAGTTCTGCTATTTATATTGATCAAATGATCGGACGTCATACAATTTAAACGTGACCCAAAGTTATTACAGAAGTCAGAACCATACTAAAGTTTGCTCTGTTGTTGAGTTTCCTGTTTCATTTTGATTCAATTTGTCAAAATATTAGGGGCCAGCCTACTGTTAAAAATGGTTACAGTTGTTGTCCAAACTGTCAGATTTATAAAGAATGTCTGGTATTCGCTTCAGCCTTCACCTGGTTTCCTGCTCAGTTCTCGTCCCCAAATTACATTTCCACGACGTGAAAACAAGGCAGATAATCCAGTTGTTGATCAACGGACGGTGTCCAATCTAATTTGGAAACATTGTCAGAGTCAGCAGTGTTATAGCTCTCATAATATCCGGATATCAGCACAATGGGTAGCTCAATGATCTGGAGGAAATTCAGCCCACATTCCTACCACCCGGTCTTCTAATTCCGTCCTAATTT